ACAAGCTGCCACCGCGCTTGTGCTTGTCACCTTCCCCCGCCATCGCGCTCACGTTCTCCCCTTCCCCCGCCATCGCGCTCACGTTCTCCCCTTCCCCCGCCATCGCGCTCACGTTCTCCCCTTCCCCCGCCATCGCGCTCACGTTCTCCCCTTCCCCCGCCATCGCGCTCACGTTCTCCCCTTCCCCCGCCATCGCGCTCACGTTCTCCCCTTCCCCCGCCATCGCGCTCACGTTCTCCCCTTCCCCCGCCATCGCGCTCACGTTTTCCCCTTCCCCCGCCATCGCGCTCACGTTCTCCCCTTCCCCCGCCATCGCGCTCACGTTCTCCCCTTCCCCCGCCATCGCGCTCACGTTCTCCCCTTCCCCCGCCATCCCGCTCACGTTCTCCCATCTTCGCACCACCTTCGCGCTCATGGTCTCCCCTCCCATCTCCCTCGTGCTCACGTTCTCGTCTCTCATCGCCTTCTCGCTCACACCTCCCGTCCCTTCCTGTTGCCCTCGTGTTCTCCCGTCCCGTCCCGTCGCCTTCGCGCTCGAACCTCCCGTCCCGTACCGTCGCCCTCGTGCCCTCCCCTCCCCAATGCCCCTCCCATCACCCAACCAGTAACCTTTGGCCCCTTGTTCTCTCCCTCTCCCCTCGCGTCCGTGTTTCCGTCGGCCTCTCACTCTCCTCTTCCGACTCCTTGACTCACTTTGTTTATCACCTTCTCCTGTTTGTTTTTCTCTGCATAATTCACACCCCCGAACCCATTCCTACAGCTCTCGCTTTTTGCTGAAGGCTCAGGCGCTACCGATGCAAGTGTTTGTCTCTGCATGTGGAATTCCCACGACGTAGAACTGGGAATTTGAATGTGGAACGAATGTGAATGTGGCACGAATGTGAATGTGCCACGAACGTGATTTTGGCACCCCTTACGACACATTTGCCCAACCCTGCGACCAGATTCCTCGATCAAAATAGAAAAGATGGTTCAGTGGTATCTGGAAAAAAAGAAAAACTGCAACACATGGGCTGACGCTATAAGAGTAAATATTCTAATTAGTCTGACGGATCAGACCATCGAGTTTGTGAAAAATGGAATTCCAGAGTAGTCAAATTTTCATCACTGAGAGCCTCAGAGTTATTGTTTTATGGCCCCTGATTCAGTGTAATAGGCCTAAGTGTTAGTCATTTCTGGAGTCTGTCACTACAGAGTATGCGTTCTGTGGTCCATGCATGCGAGTTTATCGGGAGGAAGCTTCCTCGAAATTTCCTTTCGATACACCCACCTCCGAGGTGGCAGCGAATGCCAACACGTGAGCAAAGCACACAGCACCTGCTGCGATATCTGAATACACTCTATCTGTGGCAGTATCACACAGGTTGAATTGTGTCCCACAGTGGGTTAACCGTTGAAGCGGGCTAGAAAAAGAAGCCCAATAGTGATGTCTTAGCGGATAGCACAACAAATTGGCGAATCGGTGGGAGAGGATATCTTGCCACAGGTAATGTATCGCACTTTTTGGTGCTGAAATCGAAAATTTCTCCGCACCACAGCACTTGAAATAAATTGTTCCTTATTCATAGGTTGAAAATTTATGTTGCGCGGCAGATTCTCGCGCGCCAAGTGGTGGTTTGTGTTTTGTGCCAGCTCAGCTGCGTGGCAGGTCGCCCAGTTGGCACTTGAAAAGTTGCGCCAAATCGAGCCAATGTTGCAACAGTCCTTCTCACCCTTGAAGCTCACCGACAAACCAGAAGGAAAAAACAAAAAAAAAACCGCGACTCTGAAGTCATTTCCCCAACACTGAAGGACCAGAGTTGTGTTTTTTTCAACCCTGATTTCTTTTAACACGCTCAGAGTGGCCATTTTGCGGCCGAAGTGCCGTCAGAGTAGAAAAAAAAATTGCCGGTCAAAAACAGGGAGGCGTTTTTTGAAACGTCAGCCCTGTTACACCCTACAAACAAAACCTCTGAATCAGTATATCAAGTGGACCCAACTAGAAGGGGGGGGTCACTATTTTGCATGCGGGCTTTAAAAGACCAGCACGGTGAAATCAAGCTTAAATGGCAGTGCACAATTTCGAGCAGCTATATTTCACAACTAGCTTTAACCAAGACTGCTAAGGCATAGAGATGGGAGCCTCTCATTCCTGGCTCTGATCTTCAGGCAGGTGGGTGTGATCCTGAGAGCGCTCCCGCACCCACCCCCACCAAAGCCAGAGCACTTGAAGGCCTCCAGTCTGCACGGGATGCCACTTCACTGCAGCTGCCCCACACACCCCGCCCCATAACACCCTCCTTGCCCCCATCACCACTACCCTCCCCAACGTGCGACCCCCTCATCTTCTTCGCCACACGCCCCCCACCATCCTGCCCCCTCTCTTCCACCCTCTTTCCTGCCACCGCCACAGCACCACGCAGCATGCAATGCGCGTCAGCCAGCGCGTCCAAGCCATGCAGCCACAGCGTGCACGCCTGCATGTCATCCAGCACCAGCCCATCAGAACTGCCCATCGCAGCAGCCCCATGTGAACCACTTGCATCTCCCCATACCGCCTCCAGCGCCTCTGCAGCGTCGTCCACGCCCGTGCCCGTGCCCGTGCCCGTGCCCGTCGCTACACAGGCGCCAAGGGCGGCGCTGGGCGTGGGGGGGGCGCTGGAGGCGCCTGTGACGCCACCCGCCACACCCGCCAGGTCGCCCGCCAGCATGCGCCCGCGCCGCTGCTCCGGGTCGCTCAGGTACACGGGTCCCCCTTCCGCCCTCCCCCCTGCCCCCTCCTCCGCACGGCCCCCACCGTCGCCCACGGGCCATACTGAGTCGTCTTCAGCCATGCTGCTTTCTGCCTTCTCCCCTTCGCCCCCCACCCGCTTACCCGCCTGTCCTTCCTGCGCCCGCTCCTGCCACTGCCTGGGCCCATCTGCGCACCCCTTCTTCTCCACGCCAACAACCCTCGGCCTGCCTCGCGGCCTCCCTGTCGGCCCCTTGCTCTTCCGCCCCCTGCCGCTCGCCCCCATTCCGGCACCGCCGCCCGACGGTCCCTTGCTGCCCCGCCCCTCGTCGCCCCCTGTCCGCTGTGGGCCGCCATGCAGCCCCGCCGGGCGGCCAGGACCACCACCGCCCGCGGGTTCGATGGCGCGGCGAGCGCCACACGCGCTCATCCGCCAGGCCTCCGTCTCGCCCTCGCCGCGCTGCCCGCTGCTGCCATCCCCCGCACGGCCCGCTCCCCGCAACTCAGCCGCCGCCTCGCTGTCCTTGAACTGAACCACAGCGGGACCGTCCTTGACCTTGTCGCGCCCAACCTCGCGCCGCTCTCCCCATGCCGCCGCCTCCATTTCGCCGCTCCCGACGCCGGCTTTCTCGGCATCTGCAGGCGACGCAGAGGGGGTTGCGGGCGCGCGCGGCGTTGAGGCGGGGGACGGAAGACGGGCAGAGGCCGGAATGCGAATCAAGGGCGGAGCGTGCGACGGAGTGAGCGCGGCGAGCGACCCTTTCTTGCCGCTGCCCTTGGGCCGCCCTCGCTTCCTCTTCACCACCACCTCTCCCCCCTCCCCCCGTTCCTCCGCTCGCACCACGACGCCGCCGCCCACGGTGTGAGTTCCTGCGCTCGGCGCGCAGCCCGCAATGACAGCTGCCGCCTGCGACGCCTGGGCGGGAAAAGAGTTCTCGTCCCCGCCAGCCAGCGAATACTGGGCGACGGGCCGAACGGCAGAGTGCAGTTGGCCGCCACCATTGGCTGGCCGCGCGCCGTTCCTCCGTCCGTCGCCGATGGGCGACGTAAACGAGCGACGTGCGAAAAGCGCAGCAGCAGGCGGAGCGGCATAGTCATCACTGGCGCCAACAGCGGAGCCATCGTCATCGTCGTCCGCGAGGACCACCGTGGCGAGTCCCGCCTGCCGCTGCCCGCCGTACCAGCTTCCCGCGCACTCGTCTGCGGCTTGCGCGGCATCTGGCACGCAGGGCTGCGCGGAGCAGCGGAGCCACGTGAAGGCGGAGTCGAGAACCGCCAGCACCTCCGCCTCTCGCGCGTCCAGCACCGCGCGCAGCCGCGCCATCCGCTCCAGCTCGCGCTGCACCGCCGCGCGCCTCACGGGGCCGGACGCAGCGGCGGGTGTCACGGTGGAGGAGGGAGCGCGGGGTAAAGGAGGGGCCGGCAAGGGCCCTTTGCGACACGGCGCGGCAGTGTCATCCGGATCGTCGCTGTCCCCGTCGTCGCGACTCAAGTGCGGCGGCGACGCGGAGGCGCGCCAGCGGAAATGGCCGTCCATGACTGGCAGTAGCCAGAAGACGCAGAGGCAAGCGTGGAAGGAGATTGGGAAGCGCAGCAGGCTACGCAGGGCAAGTTTGGAAGTAGTTTCGCTGCCGTCGTTGGATGGAGAAGCTGAAATGGGAGCAGAGAACAGAAATGCCTCGTTCGCAACGCCAACAGCAGCAATGACTACGCCTCTCAGTTGATGGGCGCACATTTCCAACTTCCAAGTCGCGCGCGCCATGCCATGCGCTCGCACGCCACAGTTGGCCTCGAACGGGGGAGCAGCATGCCGCCCCTCCGCGACACACTGTGCTGGATGGAGGAATCGTGAGGGGGGTGCCCCGTCAGCAGCTGCCCTCGCAGCATCAGCGTCAGCTTCGGCGATCGCCTCAGGCTCGGCACAAGCGTGTGAGACTGACTTGAACGTCGGGGATTGGGTTCTGCGCGCCAAGACTGAAGCTCGGCAGCCAATGGGTACGTTTGTTGACGGGTGACCTGGCGAGGCTTCAGCGAAAGAGATTTTGAATTGAGCTACTTCATTTCATTCAAATTATCACCCATTACAGAACAGACTTGTAAGTGTAGCAGCAGCCTTACAATGGGAACTCGAAACTGTGATATACGTGTTTTATTGACATTCACCCATCTCTCACCGCAACAGCTGCACCACAATCCAAGAAGGGGACACGCTCTATCCCATTCCACATTCCACAGCGATCACCGCGCACATCGCATCGCAACAGTCCGCCGCCATTATCCGCCAGCCGCCATGACCGCCGCCTCCATCTCCGCCTGCAGCGAATGCCTTCTCCCACGCCGCCCCCTCGGCCATCACGCGCCTCCGCGCCGCAGCGCCCACGCCAAGCCGTTCCCCAGACCCGCGTTCATCCCGTCCCCGCCCGCCAGCCTCCTCTCGAATCCCCGTGCCGTCTGCCGACCGCCGCGCGCTGACCGTGCTGCCGCACCGCGCGCGCAATCATCGTCGCACGACGATCTCGAGGGACGACAGCAGCGCGACACGTGTCTATCCCGCCGTGACGCCCTCCTCTCCCTCGCGCTGCTCCCCCCCTCCCTCTCCGCCGCGGCGCTCCTCTCCCCGTCACCGTCGCTCGCCGCGTCGCCGGCGGCCCCCGACACGACCGTGACGCACCGCGCGTTCCTCGACTTCGCCGTGTGCCCCACGGCCGTGCGCCTCGACCGCACGCTGGGCGACGACGCGCTCATCTGCGCCGACGGCGAGCCGCTCGGGCGCGTCGTGCTGGGGCTGTACGGGCGCGCGGCGCCCGACACGGTGGCGCAGTTCGTGCGCATGGTGGCGGGCGACGCGGGGTCAACGTACAAGGGGAGCGTGATCCACCGCTCGCTGCCCGGGCAGTACGTGCAGGCGGGCCACCAGGGGCAGGTGGCGCGCGGGGACGTGGCTCCGCCGACGCTGCTTCCGCCGAACCGCGACACGGTGGCGGCGGCGTCGTTCGCGCTGAGCCACCTGCGGCCCGGCACGCTGTCGCTGTGCGTGGGGGAGAACAACGACGACGAGCGCGCGCGCGCGCCCGCAGCAACTACCGCAACGTGGAGTTCCTCATCACCACGGGTGGGACTGAGGGGGAAGGGGGGAGGGGGCGGGACAAAGGGGAAACAGGGAGAGGGGAATGGGGGTGAAGTGGGGGGAGAGGGGGAGAGCATGCCTAATGCTCACCCACTCCTGCCCATGCGCATTGCCATGCCCCATCCGCACCACCCCATTCACATGCTGTTCCCCTTGGCCCATGCGGGCACCCACACCTCCGTCCCCATCCCCATCCCCACAGGCACGGGTGATGGCCGAGTGGCCAGCAGGTCGTTGTGTGTAGCCTTGGCTTGGTGGTGCACGTGACCGCATGCTCGCCAATCATCCGTCCCTTGCTCACCGCTCTCTTCGTCCCTTTCATCCGCCGCCCTTTCCCCCCCTCAACTGCTGCCTCCTTCCGTCATTGGCCACCCCTTTCCCCTGCACGCCCTATCCTCTCCACTCTGCTCCGCGGCCTACCTGTTGTGAGGCACACGCCTTCCCCCTCACGCCTCGTCTCAAAGCCCTGCCCCCTCATCTGTCACCGGCTTTTTCCCATCAGGCCTATGCCCCGCGACTCCGCTCCACACGGACTCCGTGTTTAAGACATGTTACAGCCCCGCTGCCTCCTCAGATTTTCTCTTTCTTCCCCCGTCCCCCTTTCCTCCCCTCCCCCCACCAGGCCCTGGCCCGGCCACGCAGCTGGACGGCGACAACATCGTCTTCGGCACCGTGCTGGAAGGTGAGCGCGCTGCATGCATGGGGCGCGGGGTTCTGGGTTCAAGGTGAGGGGACTACCGGGATATGAAGCGCATGCTGGGAGGGGTGGGTGGGGATGGCGGGGGTGGGAGAGAGCGGCGGCTGGGTGTGAGGGCATAGCAGGGGCTGAGCGCATTCATGCCGCACCACCCCGTGCCTTCCGCTCCCTTCTCCCCATCCCACCTGCTTCCACTCCTGCCCTGCTTCCTCTGAATTCAACCTGATCATCCCTCCTCCTCCCCCCTCCTTGCTCTCCTCCCCCCTCACCCCCATGCTCTTCTTCTCCCCCTCACCTCATGGCCCTTTGCATGCGCCCTGTGGGGGAGCACTGAGCAGGCATGGAGGTGGTGGCGGCGGTGGCAGCAGTGCCCACCTTCCAGCCCAGCGACCGCATCCGCCAGTTCAACGACTTCGCTGCTCTGCTGGGGGACGACCGCGCCGCCAAGGGCCGCGGCACGTGGAACCGCCCTCTTAAAGCCATCGTCATCCAGGACTGCGGGCTGCTGGAGTGACAAGAACGCAGGCGGCTGGAGGCCCCCCACCCGTTCCTTTCCCACCCATCCTCCGCCCGGAGCCTTCCCCTGCCACCACTCTCCTGCCCCCTCTGCCTCCCTCAAGGAGGTCCACAATTTTGATGCGTGGTTGGTGCTCGCTGCTGCTGCCTGCTGCTTGCCTCTGCCTGGTGGGCGCACCCGGGACGGTGCAAGGGACCACCGGAGCCGCATGCTGCCAGGACTGGTGGATGCTATGTCTTGCACAAGTCACGTGTGGTACCAGTTTGTACATTCGATTCATACTACCGTAATAGAAACCTTAGCACTTATTTATAAGACATATGGATATGATACGGTAGTTATACCGTACATGAGAAATTTGCCAGTCCCATCTCAAAACATTACAAAAAACGTATGAGTAATAGGGAAGCATGCAGCCTAGGAAGCAGCAGAGGAGACGGGTGGTGCTGGTGCAGCACTTGAGTCCACTGCTTTCTCCGCCTCCTTGTTCACCACCTGCCATGCCAGTGAAGAGGGTACAGAGGAGCACAGAGGGGCACAGTGCGGGAGGAGGAGTGAAGGGAGATGAGAGGTGTGGGCGTGGAAGCAACGGTACAGATTGCTGATGTAGGTGTGGTAGCACGCAAGGGTGATGGGTGGAGGAGGTGCGGCACACATGGGATGGGATGGATGGGAGCATGGGCGCATGTGATGGCAGCGCGAGTGCATGCAGGAGGGAAAGGGGCGCTAGGGCACACACCTTGTTGTTGATGAGGTTGTGCAGCGCGATGATGGACCGCACCAGTGATGCCACGTACACCGCCAGCGTCATGTCGTTCGTGCGCACTGCCATGCCATGCCATGCCATGGGTGCCATGCCACGCCAACAGGCAGGGAGGAGCAGGGCAGGAAACAAACGGGATGCGTAAACTAAATGAGGCACATATTTTCATGACGCGCACTGACTCTTGGGCAGTGTTGCATGCAGTGCAGTGCAGAGCAGTGAAGGGAGCGGAGACAGCCTACCAGCGAAGGCCTTGACGAGGTCGTCGACGTTGAGGTTGGGCAGCAGGTTGAAGGCGTCCTGCACGCCGTACAGGATGTCCGCCAGCAGGGGCAGCCGCCCTGCTGCCACCAGATCCAGGTACGACCGCAGCTGCCTCAGCCGTGACTCCAGACCCTTGAGCGCCACCAGCTTTGCACTCACCTGGGTGGTGGGATGGGGAGACAGGGTGGTGGGCGGGTTGGGGAGCACAAGGGGGCATGGGAAGCATTCTTAAATCGACTTGAATTACTCACCTGGGAAGGGGAAGGGGGGGATGGATGGGGAGGAGGAGGAGGGGGCACAAGAGAGCAGGGGGGATATAAGGGAGCACGGCGAGCATGCAAACTAGCACAGTGCGCATAAGGAATATGTTTCAAAAATGAAGGAGCAGTGCATTGCCATGCGGCACACGAGTGCATCGCTACAGTGATTGCTGGAGTGCGCGTGGCAGGGCGGGCATTGACACGCGCACCTCAGAGGCGAGGGTGGTGATGGTGGCGTCCTTCACATCGCGCAGCAGATGCTCCACGCCTGAGGGCGGGTGAGGGGGCACGTGGCCATGGGGCCAGGGGCATGACACACGAGGGAGGGCAGGGTAATGGGGGGGGGAACGGGGAGGTGACACACAAGGAGGAAACGACGGAGGTGAAAAGGAGTTGCGCGTACATCACTATAATACCACCCCGCTGCCTTCCCACCCTCCGCAACCATCTGCACCATATAATCTATCCACTCACCAATCTCCTCCGCCTCGTATGCGCCGATCTCCGATGAGATGTGCACAAACGCCTTCTGACTCTTCTGCGTGCCGTCCTGCTCCATGCCATGCCATGCCATGCCATGCCATGCCATGCCATGCCAGGCCAGGCCACGTCATGCCATGCCAAGCCAACCGATGCCATGCCATTCCACCATGCCATGCCAGGCCAGGCCACGTCATGCCATGCCAAGCCAACCGATGCCATGCCATTCCACCATGCCATGCCATGCCAGGTGACATCAACCATGCGGCAACGAATGAGCCATACAACACAGCGACCTGCTTGCAACCATGCAGGGCAGTGCAGCGCTCGCAAGAGCACAACAAAGGGCTCACAAAGAGTCCATGCACTGCTTTGTGTGCAACGCCTCATCACCCCTCATCACCCCCTCGCCACGCCTCATCACTCCCCACCTCGCCTCAGCTACGCCACACGCCGCTACCCACCGCCGCGCACCTCCTTGACGTCCTCAACGGTGCAGTAGGCCTGCGAGGGGATGGCCAGCTCGCGCGGCTGCACGTCTATGATCACCAGCACGGGGTCGCTGCAGTAGCTGTGGGAAGCAAGGGGGGGATACACGCATGGAAGCATAGGCGCATGGGTGGGGGATTACATGGGCGCATGGGTAGGTGGATAGGTGGATGGTTGGATGGGTGGATGGATGGATGGGTGCATGTGTGCATGTGTGCATGTCTGCATGTCTGCATGTGTGCATGTGTGCATGTGTGCATAAGTGGTTGGGTGGATGTGTGGATGTGTGGTGGGTGGATGGGCGCATGTGTGATTTATTGGATGGGTGGACGGGTGGGTGCATGGGCGCATGGCTGCCTCACTTGTAGAAGAGCTCCTGGATGTCGAGGTCGCTCTCGCGGATCTTGGGGCCCGTCGAGTACCACCCCACCACTCGCTCCTTCGCTGCTCGCACCACACCGCACCACACCGCAGGGAGTGGGGTGGGGCGGGGGGGCACACATGCAGATGGGATGCACGAGGGCATAAGATGGGTGAGTGTGAGGCGCATTCACGAACTGCGGGCGTGAAACAAGCAGCAGCTTGTGACGGGCGAGAACGAATAAGCCTCGTACAAGCCAGGTGCCAGTGGGCGTCGGGCAAGTGATGCGCGGGGAACGAGCGTGGAGCGGGGCAGCGGGGCGGCAGGGCGGCGCACCGTTGATTTTCTTGAACATGGCGAACATGGCCTCGTGGTAGTTGTGATCCAGAAACCAGATGCTCGCGTCCTTGTCGTCCTCCTCGAATGGCACTGCGCGCACACCATCCAGCCACGCATCATGCACGCACGCAGCAGCACGCAGCATCGTGTAGCACCAGAGGGCAGGTATAGAGTAGGCCATAGATTTGAGGGACGCAACGGCAGTGCACGAGTTGCATCGACTGAGAGCACGCTGACACGGAAGCTAGCGCAAGCGCAGCTGATCAAGTCATGCTGATCGATCACGCTGATCCCCCACATCCACGCCTGACAGCTCTCGCAGGCACCTTCAAATCCACTCCTGAATACCCTCCCCCGCCGCAACCCACTCCTGAATAACCTTTCTCGCCGCGACCCGCTGAACCCTAACCTGCGTAGCTGTTGGTGACGTCGATGCGGCCGCGCGCCGTTTCGCCGAGCAGCACGCCGAGCACGCGCTTGTGCGTGTCCTTGGCGACGCGGTTGTAGTGATCCACGATGCTCAGCAGCACCAGCGGATGCACCACCACCTTCTCGATCGCCACCGCCTTCCCCATGCTGAACGCGCGCTCGCTCGCTCGCTTTTAACGCGACGACGACGAATTTATTGGATTGCGAAACTAGGCAACGAGATTGACGCGCGGGTCGTGGAGCGACGGAATCGAGCGTGAGTCGCGGGATCCAGACTAGAGAAGCGAAGGAGAACGGATTAATGTCTGACGAAGCGGCACTCGCAGGCGACGCTGATAAATCGAGATTCGAGAGATTAGGGAGAGATGTGCGATACGATTGGACTGGGAGCGGAGGGGAGGCAACCCCGAGAGCGGTGAGCAGTTTGGGTGAATGAGGTGTACGCGATAGAAGCGCTTTTGTCTCGAAATATATTTACCGCTTCATGGATTCTCGTAATAAAGTAAGTCCCTGGTTTGAGGGATTTCTACTTTCCTTGGGGATTGGTTTGGTAACATCACGAGTCTCGCGAGAATCGCTGACCGTCGCCCAAAATTCTATCACAAGTTCCCTGTGTCAGCCACATGCCACATCCCTCACACCCCCTCATTCTCTCATCCCTCTTCGTTATTATCACTTTCGGCCGTCCACCTCTCCATAACTAGACCATTCCGCTTAGTTACGATTATCTAGTCGTGCTCGTCATTCCCATTTTCCCAGTCGCCGCGCACCCGCCATGCGCCAGTCGCCGGGAATGTGCCCGTCGCGGGCACATCCACTCACGCCGCCGCATCCCTTCACGACGGGAAACCCCCTAACGACGGCACATTAGATTCGTTCGCGAGAACCTTCCAGCAGCCCCCTTTTTTTCCGCCATGGCGCTGTGGCGGATCCAGGCGGTGCTGGGGACGACGCTCGCGCTGGCGGTGGGGTCGTTCAACGCGGGGAGCGTGGCGACGATGGCGGAGGCGGGGTCGCAGTTCGGCGCGCAGCTCGCGTGGGCCTTCGCCTTCGCGCACGGGCTCGCGCTGCTGCTCAACCTCCTCGCCATGCGCGTCGCCTTCGCCACGCGCCAGTCGCTGCCGCTCGTGAGCCTCGCGCCGCCGCGCTGCCTTATAAGAACTGTTTTAGGCTTTCCTGCCCTGATCCACGGGTTTCGTCGCTCCGCGCTTCATCGTCCACCCGGCACGCTCTCCTCTCGCCTGCGAAGATTTTCGCCAATCAGATCGCGTCTTTCGCCGCATTGCCCGCTGCCAATCCTCCCCTTCGCTGCTCCTTCCCCCCCATCCCCTCCCATTTCCCCCCACCCCCCCCCGCTTCCCCCCGCGCGTGACCACGTGCGCGGCGCGCAGGTGATCGTGCGCGAGTATCCGCGCGCGTTCTGCCGGCTGGTGTGGGTCATCTGCGAGGCGTCCGTGCTCTGGTTCGACCTCGTCACGGTGCGTTCCGCACTCCCTGCACCCATCCGCATCCCCATCCCCATCCCCATCCCCATCCCCATCCCCATCCCCACCCTCACCCCCTTCTCCATCCGCATCCCTATCGCCCTCTCCCACTCACCCCCTCGCGTCCTTTTCGCTTCGCACACACACCACCCCACCTTCCACCGCAACACACACTCGCTGCACACACCACACGCGCCCCCTCCTTCCCACCCCTTCCCCCCGTTACCCCCTCATTCTCCCCACTGTTCCACACACCTCCTTCCTCCCCAGGTACTAGGCAGCGCGGTGGCGCTACAGCAGCTGCTGGGGGTGCCCTTCAAGGCGGCGCTGCTGCTGCACGCTTCCTCTCGTCCCCCATCCTTCCCGTTCCCCCCGGCCCCCTCCCCCTTTCCTTCCCCCAGGTACTAGGCAGCGCGGTGGCATTGCAGCAGCTGCTGGGGGTGCCGTTCAAGGCGGCGCTGCTGCTCGCCGCGGGATCGGGCGTGCTGCTGCTCCAACTGCCGCTGCCGCAGGTGGGGGACGGGGGACGGGATGGGTGGTATGAGAGCTATTGCCTGCCGCGCTTCCTGCCTCTTTCTGCACCCTGCATTCCCATGTGTGTCTCCCTGTGCGCGTCACTGTCGCTCCGCGCTGCTCCTCCCATTAGTCTCACTCCCGCTTCTCCACTTCCTCTCACACCTAACACTCCCTCTGGTTCTCCCTTCCACTCCCCTCCCCTCTCCCTGCCCGCTCCCACTCTCCCACCCCTCAGGCGCACCAGGCGGTCTCAGCATGTGTGGCGTGCGCCCTCCTCGCGCTGCTCTGCGCGGCCCTGCAATGCCTCCTCGCAGGGCCCGCCTTCCTGCTCGCGTCGCTCTCAGCGGCGCTGCTGCCAGCACTGCCGCCCGCCTCGCTGCACCTCGTGCTCGCTGCTATCGGCGCGCTCGCCCTGCCCCACCGCTTCCTGCTGCTCTCCGCGCTCGTGCTGCAGGTGCGCTGTGTTGTGTTCCCTCATGCGCACTTGTCGCCATCTAGGCGCCTCCTCTCTGCCATCTAGGCGCCTCCTCTCTGCCATCTAGGCGCCTCCTCTCTGCCATCTAGGCGCCTCCTCTCTGCCATCTAGGCGCCTCCTCTCTGCCATCTAGGCGCCTCCTCTCTGCCATCTAGGCGCCTCCTCTCTGCCATCTAGGCGCCTCCTCTCTGCCATCTAGGCGCCTCCTCTCTGCCATCTAGGCGCCTCCTCTCTGCCATCTAACAATGCCCATGCCCCTACAGCAGTCGTCGCCCTCCCAAGGCGAAACGCCCGTGCATGTTAAGCATGTGCCCTGCCTTCACCCCGCGCTCCTCCCGTCTCCCTCTCTGCCATCCACCTCCCAGGACGACCCAAGCGCGCGCGATCTCATGGAACCGCCACCAGACACGCCATCCTCCCCTCCTGACGCCTCCGCCTCCGCCTTCCACCCCTCTGCCACCCACCCCCTCGCCCCAGCCTCCCCCTCCTCCGCCTCCCTCTCCCCCTCGGACCCCCCCCACGCGCCGTCCCCCCAACAGCAGCAGTACCGCCGCGACTTCATTCACTCCCAGCTGCTCGCTGCTGCCGCCACGCTCGCGCTGCTCCTAGGGGCCTCCGCCGTGGGGCAGGGTGCGGGGGTGGACGGGGGAGGGGCAGACGGACAGGAAGATGGGGAAGGGTTTGAAGGGGTGGAGGGGGGTGGGGAGGGGCGGGTGGTGCGATTGTGGGGTGTGTATCGGCTGGTGGAGCAGGTGGTGAACAGCAACGTGGCGCCCACCTTCGCCTCCCTCGCTCTCCTCTCCTCCTTCCACCTCTCCACCCCCACCAACGCCTATGCCGGCCAGCTCTCCGCCTCCACCTTCGCCCACGTGCACCTGCGCCCCTGGCACCGCTTCCTCCTCACCCGCGCCCTCACCCTCCCGCTCCTGCTCCTCCTCTCCCTCACCCTCGGGGACGCCGCCACGCTCTCCCTCCTCTCGCACTCGCAGCTCCTCCTAGCCCTCCTGCTCCCCCTAGCAGCCGTCCCCCTGGTGCGCCTGGCGGCGTCCCCCGCGCTCATGGGGCGCCACCGCGTTGGCCCCGCGCTGGAGCTCGTCAGCTGGGCGGCGTGCCTCTCCGCGTGCGCCCTCTCTGTCTGGTTCCTCGGGGACGCACTCTTACGCTTCGCCACAGCAGAGGCAGTCGCGGGGGGCGCGGATGGGGATGATATCGGGGGAATGGGGCTGTGGGAGTGGGTGGTGGCGGGGGAGTTTCTGTCCGCGGGGGGAGGAGAGGAGGACGACGGGGAGGGGCTGGCCGTGGGGCTGTCGCCGTCCGCTGTGTGGCGCAACGTTCGGCAGCTAGTGGCGGTGTTTGGCGGGACGGCGCTGGTGGGCGGCATGCTGGGCGGGCTGCTTTGGCTCATGCTGCTGCCGCTGCGGTCGGAGGACGAGCAGCAGCGCCGCCTGCTGCTCTCCCACTCCGCCTCCGCCTCCCTCTCCGCGCCCTCCCCCTCCTCCGCCTCCGCCCCCACCTCTCTCCGCCGCCCCCGCCCCCTGCCACTGGCAGCAGCGCAGGACAGGCGGGGAGGGGAGGCGCGGTGGGGGGCGGAGAGGGAGGGGAGGGCGGGCGCGGGGGGGACATGGGAGCTGCCCCGCCCCTCCGCGTCCCCTGTGTCTGGGCCGCTGCCTGTGTTGCTCCCTGGCGCGGAGAGAGGGGGGGAGAGGGCGGGGGAGAAGGGGGAGGGCGCGGAGGGGGGGTCGTGGAACAGTGCACTGAGGAGGCGCGTGGGGGGGCAGCAGTGGCAGCATGGGGGGGACAGGGGGGAGGTGGGGGAGGGCGTGAGGGGTGTGGTATCAGAGGGGGTGGGTGGGTATGGTAGCAGCAGTGGCAGTGGCGGTGGCGGTATGGGTGGAGTGGGAGTGGGAGTGGGTGGGGAGCACATGCGAGTGCAGCGAGCAGCGTCGGTGTCGGGGTGTGTGGCGGAGAGGGAGGTGGGCGGAGGAATGGGCGCAGGTGTGGGCGTGCAGGGGGGAAGTGGCAGGGAGGCGGAGAGGGGCAGGCAGGGGGCGGGGAGAGCCAGCATGCTGTCAGCGGCAGGTGGCGAGCAGTGGCAGGTGAAGGAGGGGGGGGCGCAGCTACAAGCAGGCCGGCTTGGTGGGGAGGAGCTCGCTGTCTCTGTGCGTGCTGTGGCAACCGCAGCAACAGCCACAGCAGCAGCTGGCGCAGCCGCAACAGGTGCGGGAGCGGCAGCAGCAGCAGCTGTTGCTGCAGGTGGGAAGGCAGGGGAGGAGAGGAGGGGAGAGGGCGAGGGGGGTGTGGGAGGGGGAGAGGTGGTGGTGGCACCGGGTTTTGAGGCGCCTCAACAAGCGGTGGTGGCACCGGCAGTGGCGGGCGAAGGGCGTGTGGGCGACCCTGTGCTGCCTGCCCCTGCACCGGTTGTACCGTCACCAATTGCCCCCGCCCCGGTTGCAGCTACACTGGTTGCACCTGTACTGGTTGCACCCGCACTGATTTCATCTGCTGAGAAGGTTTCATCTGCTGAGAAGGTTTCATCTGTTGAGAAGGTTTCATCTGCTGAAACAGTTTTATGCACTGACATGGTTTCGCCTGCTGAGAAGGTTCCATCTGCTGAGAAGGCTTCGTGTGCTGACAGGGAGGGGGTGATGCGAGGAGAGGGGAGCGCGGAGACTGCTCAGGAGGAGAGCGGCGAGGAGGAGAAGAACGGTGGGGAGGGGGGCGGAGGCAAGGAGGAGGGGGTGGTGGTTCCGTTTGACAGAGCGGTGACTCTGGCGGATGGCGTGGCGCGTGTGCGCCATGGCCCTGGTGGGGGCACTGGGCAGGGCGATTGTGGTGCCGGCGCAGGGGAGACTGGGGGGGGAACAGCAGGGCGTGGGGAGACGGGCGAGCAAGGGGAGATGGGCAACGAGCAGACGGGCAGGGAGTGTGGGGAGGCGGCGAGGTGGGAGGGTGTTGTAGGTGCGGAGAAGGTGAGTGAGGGAATGAGCGTAGTGGAAGGAGGAGGTATGGAGAAAGGACGTGTGGTGCAGGGAGGGGAGGGAGGGGAGGGAGGGGAGGGAGGGGAGGGAGGGGAGGGAGAGGAGGGTCGAGAAAAAGGAGAGGAAGAGGAGAGAGGAGAGGGAGACGGGGAGAGAGAGGAGAGTGGGGAATGCAGTGAAGCAGATAAGGAGGCGAGAGAGAAAGGCAACGAGACGGCTAATGAAGAGGCGAAGAAGAGTAGTGTTGAGGCATCGGGGGCGATTGGAGAGTCAATGGAGGAGGGCGATGGTGGCTTGGCGGAGAAGGGGGGGGCGGGAGTGGACAGGGAGAGGGGAGAGAAGGGAGACGACGGGGAGAGAGGGGCGAAGGGAGAGGAGGGGGAGAAGGGGGAGAAAGGCGAGAGGAAAGGGGAGGTGGGAGCGGAAACGGAAGGGCTGGGGGGAAGGGAAGCGGAGAGGAAGGAGGAAGGGGAATTGGGAGTAGATGGGGAGCAACGAGGGGGCGAAGAGCATGTGGAGGACGGGGTTGGGAAGGAGGCAGAGGCACGGGAGGCCATGCACATTGGGGACAGCTTTGGGACGGGGGGAGCTGAAGAGGAGGCTGGCGCGGGCAGGGTAGAGGGGGAAGGGGAAGAAAAGGGTGGGGAGGTTGCGGAGGGAGGGAAGGGAGGGAAGAGTGGAGAGGATGGGGCAGTGGAGCAGCGAGGAGAAGGCAAGGACAAGGGGCGAGGGGACACAAAATTGGATGGGCAACAACAGGCGGGACAGGAGGCGGCAGGAGAGGGGTCGGTGCGTGCAGGTGAGGAGGCAGCAGCAAGTGCGGCTGTGGGTGAGGGGGGAAGGGACGTGGGAGCTGTGGCGCACAGCCAGGCGCCCATGGGCGGAGGGCAAGCGCGGGCTGAGGGGCATGGGGTGGGCGCAGGTGGCGGGGCAGGGAAGGGGGAGCAGGCTGACGAGGCTGTTGTGCCTGTGGGGAAGGGGGAGAGGCGGGCGGAGAGGGAGGCAGGGGAGGAGGGGGTTGAGGGTGAGGGCGCAGGGGAGGCGAAGAGGCACCGGGTGGAGGGAGGCGGTGGTGGGGAGGCGGGGGGAGGGGCAGTGGCGGAGGAAGGGCCAGGGGCGGACGCAGGGGCAGGGGCGGAGGGCGCAGGGGAGATGGAGGTGGAGGAGCAGGAGAAGCGGGTGGTGGCAGTGGGAGGAGTGGCGGAGGTGAGTGCAGGTGAGGGGGGTGCCGTCGTTGCGCCCTCTGCAGCCGCCGCCTTTGCTGCTGCCGCAGCCCCACCACCAGTCGTGGCAGCATCAGTAGCAGCAGCAGCAGCTTCAGCTGCAGTAGTAAAAGCATCAGCAGCAGCAGCAACGGTTGCAGCTGGTGTGGCAGGTGGCAAACCACAGCAGCACCACACCCATTCCCAGCAGCAGCAGCAGCAGCAGCAGCAGCAGCAGCAGCAGCAGCAGTCCCACGTGGCCCGGTCAGCCCTGTCCAAATCCCCACCTCTGCCCGACTCCACCCCCCTCCTCCCTGCCCCTATGCCCCGCACGCCTTCCCCCCCGTCCGCCCAGGCTGCGCCCTTCACTGGTGCGCGCAGCAGCATAGGCAGCCCCTGCGGGTCTGGATCCCTCTCTGACCTTCTGCACCACTCCCAACCGCGCCAGCACTCCTCACTGCTCGCATCCGCTGCTGCAGCTGCTGCGAGGGGCAGTGATGGCGATGGGCTGGGCGCTCTGCCGTCTGGGGCGGGTGGCATGGGCGGCAGTGGCAGCATGGGCGGCAGTGGGAGCGGCAGCCTGTCACGTGTGTCTGGGCTGGGCAGGGGTGCGAGGAGGCAGTTTGCAGCCATTCTGGACGAGTTCTGGGGAGGATTGTTTGACCTGCACGGCCAGCCCGTGCCCCTGCCCGCTGCCCGCCCCCCGGGGGGGAGCAGCAAGGCGGGGGGGAAGGGGGGAGGGGATGGGGGGAAGGGGAAAAGAGGTGGGGCGGATGGGAGTGCGGGTGGAGGGGTGGGAGGGATTGGAGTGGGCGCTGGTGCTTGCTCCAGCATGCTTGGGGCTGCTGCCACTGCCACTGCTGCTACTGCCACTGCTGCCGCTGCCGCTGCTGTCGGTGCTGCAAGCAGTGCCGGCGGCTACGGTGGTGGTGGCGGGGGTACAGCAGCAGGTGCGGCAGCAGCAGCAGCAGCAGCAGCAGCAGCAGCAGCAGCGGTGGTGGGGGGTGCAGCAGGCAATGCGGGCAACGGAGCACATCCCTTCCCACCCGCCCTCCCCTCAGAGGATCATCTCTTCTCCCCCGACCCGCTCCCCGACTCCCTCTCTCTCACCGCCTCCCTCACTCTCCCGGACCCCCTCGCCCTCACCGCCCACCGCCGCTCCTCCTTCGACGCCTCGTCCCCCCCGCCCCCCCTCCACGACCCCTTTCTCTCCCGCGACCCCTTCTCCGCCCGCCCCACCCTCTCCCGCCCCCCCACCGCAATGTCCCCCCTCCTCTCCTCCTCCTCCGCCGCCCACCCCTCCCCCTCCGCGCGCCAGTACAGCACACTGGCGCATCTCCCCAAGTTCTCCGACCTGCCCCCCCAGCAGCAGCACTCGCTGCTCACCGCACCCCCCTTCCTCCCCTCGCTCTCCTCCCTCTCTGCCTCCCCCGCGCCTGGCGGCCCTCACAGGGAGGTGGAGGGCCCCAGTCGCTCCACCCCCAACCTGTACGCGGATCTGCTCGCGCAGGGCTATGGGGGAGGCGGGGGGAGGGCGGGCGGGGGAGGGGGAGGCGGAATGGGGCTGGGAGGAGGGCGGGGGGCGTTTGGAGCGGTTGGGTCGGCGGCTATGGGCGGATCTGGGATGTCTGCTGCTGCTGGGCTGCTGGGTGCCGCCGCTGCTGCTGCTCCCTTCACCCCTCTGTACCAGCAACAGCAGCAGCAACAGCAGCACCAGCAACAGCAGCAGCAACAGCAGCACCAGCAACAGCAGCAGCAGCACGCATCCTCCTCTTTCTTCTCCTCCCAGCCGCACCCACACTCGCAACAGCAGCAGCAACAGCAGCAGCAACAGCTGTGGCAGCAGCAGCAGCAGCAGCAGGCATGGCTGCAGCGTGGGAACAGCATGGATGGCATGGGCATGGACATGGGGATGGGCATGGATCAAGGATTGCACAGGGGCATGGATATGAATATGGGTATGGGAATGGGAATGGACATGGGCATGGGCAGGAACGAGCGCTTGGATCAGTTGGCACAGAGCTATGCAAGCTTTGCTCCTCCAGACGCCATGCGAGGCACCAACCCCCTCTCCCATGCGCACGCCCATGATCAACCCCAGGGCTACCCCCAGGGCCACCCGCAGGGCCATCCGCACGCCCCCATGCACCAGCTGGTGGGGGCCTCCCCCTCCGCTCCCCCCGGCTTCCCCTTCCCCCGCCACCCCTCCCCCCCTGCGCCTGCAGGGGCGCCGTGGGGGGGAGGGGCAGTGGGGGCGGGGAGAGGAGAAGGCGGGTGGATGGGAGACAGCAGCAGTGGCAGCAGTGCATTTGGAGGGGCCGGTGGTAACCACATGGAGTGGCAACAGCAGGGGCAGGGGCAGGGGCAGGGGCAGGGGCAGGGGCAGGGGCAGGGGCAGCATGGCATGGGTGCAGTGAAGCCCATCGGCCCTCCCTCCCGCCGCCAGCAGCCCGAACAGGAGGAGCAGCAGAGCATGAGCAGCAGCAGCAGCACTCACTCCTCTCTGTGGGCCAGCAACCCGCGTGACATGCTCTTTGGCACGCACTCCGGCCCCCTCTCCTCCTCCCTCTCCTCCTCCCCCGCCTCCTCCTCCCCCTCCTCCTCCACCCCTCTCGCCGCCCCTCCCTCCACCGCACCCAGCCACTCCCCACCCAAACCATCCCCCTCACCACCCCCGGCGAAACCCCACGTGCAAACCGAGGAAGAGCGGCGGATGGACCGGCTGAGAGTGTGCTTGCACCGGCTGCTACGTCTAGACGGCAGTGACTGGCTGTTCCGGTATGACACGGGCAGCGATGAAGACTTGGTTGCTGCTGTAGCCTACCGGGAGAAACGACTTGCAGGGGATGCTGCCGCTGCTGTGGCTGTGGGGCTGGGCGGAGGGGGCGGTGGGGGCGGCGGGAGCGGGAAGTGGGGGGGGATTTTGGAGGGGCAGGCGCAGGGGGGGCAGGGAGGGGGGGGGGAAGGAGGGGGAGATGGAGCTGCCGCCGTCGATATGGGGGTGTGGGGCGCAGTGTGTGTGGGGGCCGCTGCTGGTGGTGTCGTTTGGAGTGTGGTGTGTTCATCGCGTGCTGGAGCTGTCTCAGCTGGAGAGTCGACCTGAGCTGTGGGGCAAATACACCTACGTGCTGAACCGCCTGCAGGTGAGCTGTGGGGCAAATACACCTACGTGCTGAACCGGCTGCAGGTGAGCTGTGGGGCAAATACACCTACATGCTGAACCGCCTGCAGGTGAGTGAGACAGGCGTGTTGGCATGAGCGCAGGCATGGCCATCACAACAGCCCATCCCTGTCTGTTACCACTGCCCTCATCACTCTCCCCTCCCCCGCTCTCCCCATTCCCCCCTTCTCTACCTTCCCTCTCTCTCCCTTTCCCCCCTCTTTCCAACATCCACCTCTCTCCCTTCCTCTCTCCCCTTTCCCCTCCCCTCCACCCCTCTCCCTTCCTCTTCCCCCCCAGGGTATACTGGACCCGGCATTCTTCCGTCTCCGCACCACGCCGCGCCTCTGCCAGTGCTACGGCGACCGAGCCAACCTCCCAGCCCTCTCCGCGCAGCCGGCCTTCCACGGCGCGCTACTCTCCGCCATGCTCGGATCCCAGCTGCCCCTCGCCAACCCCTCCTGGCCCCTCGGCGCACCCCCAGGACAGCCCAAGCCGGCGTCGCCAGCTCTGTTCCTGGAGAGGATAAGGGAGGTGGAGGTGGCGGTGGGGGCGCGGAAGGGGCGCACGGGCACGGCGGCAGGGGACGTGGCGTTCCCCAAGGGCAAGGAGAACCTCGCCTCCGTGCTCAAGCGGTATAAGCGCCGCCTGGGGGGCAGGCCGTCAGGGGGAGGGGGAGGGGGAGGAGGGGGAGGAGGGGGCGGAGGGGGAGGGGGAGGGGGGGGAAGAAGGTACTGAGGCGTATGGGTGGACAGTCGAAAACGTATGGTATTAGGACTTGCGCTTCTGGAGGGTGTGATGATACATGTCACCAAGATGGTACCGTATTTTTGAGTCGTGTAGCAGGATGAATGGTAGTGCAGTGTAGTGGATGTAGGTTATGGTTAGTGGCTGACACAGCATTGAACAATGACTTGCACAGGCTCAAATAGAGTCAGACACAGGCAAGTACGGTACGGTATGCTTATTGCATACTTCCAGGATTGCTTAGAGCGTGTTCCTACGGCCTCATATCAGGAAACCTCGCATCAAGAATGCTGTTTTTGCCTGGTAAAACTAGCGAGAGGTTATGGGTTTAGGGGAATTTTCAGTGTGAGCCTGATACGAGGTTATCTTGATACGAGGATAGGAACACGCTCTTATAGCAGCTGCTTCTTCGCCCTGTATGACAACTTTCTCTGGCCAAACATAGCCACCACATTGTCTGCTCCCATTCTCCCTTGCTTCATTGGTACATACAACCCCGCGGCCATGTCACAAGCACAAGAGGGCTCATAATAGCCTTGTGTGTATCGCATGCACTGTATGCATATTGTTACGATGTCATGCAAGGAACAGAGAACTGTACAAAGAATCAAGCGGCATGGATGCCACACCCATGCCATGCCATGCCATGCTACTAGAGTACTACTACCATGTTTCTTGGGCACCCAGAACAGCACCTGCGTGACGCCAGTAACAGCATGTCTACTACTGAATGGATATGATAAGCAACAGTGGCCTGTACACAGAATCTATTTCCCAGTCATGCCGTGCTATCGTCCTTTGGGCACCCAGAACACCACATGCAGGATGCTCGTGACAGCCTGTCGCACGCCAGACAGGACAGCAGATGCCACCCAGATCCCGGGCAGCCCCATCCGGTAGATGGCATTGCCGGCGGTCATGGCGTGCGACAACACCTGCATGACAGCAGCAAGGGCGGGGCAGTGAGGATCAGAACCAGCATGCAGTGCGAGGCACAACCCGCATGAGAGACAAGTACCACGATGCATTGCACATGCTTGTTTCAAAAAACAAATCTGATACTTTCGCACAAATTAGCGCAAGTAGGGAGGGGCGGAGCGTGGCTCACAGTGGGGAGAAATGCGAGGCGCGCGGACCAGGCGTAGAGCGCGCCGATGAGGGGCACCTCCGCCACGAGCGGGTCCACCTCGAAGAAATTGCTCTGCTCCGCGATGCGCCACACCACCCGCCTCCCGCTGCCACCGCCGCCGCCGCCGCTAGCATTGACGCCGCCCTTCTCCCTGCCACTGACACTGCCGCTGCCGCTGCCAATGGCCCCACCCGCTCTAGACAGCGCTGGGGAGACGTCGCTATCGTCGTCAGACGCGACGCGCTCCTCGTGCGGCTCGAGGCGCAGCACGGCCACCATGTGCAGCTGGCGCGTGGTGAGCGGCGCGAGCCACGGCCGCACGCACAGCGTGCCGCGCACCGCCAGGCGATCCGGGCGCGTGACGTCGTAGATGACGTCAGCGACGGTGAAGTACCAATAGATTGCCGTGACGCTACGCAGCTGCGCGGACCATATGGGGGAGGATTGGGGGATGGGGGTAATGGAGAGGATGGGGGAATGGGGGAGTGAGGGGAATGGGGGAGTAAGACTTCCATGCATGGGGAGATGGGGGGAAGAATGTAATAACCAGTTCTGTAGTTTATGGTTCGCGCGGCGTCCATTAATCGCACCCAGAGGAGGTTTTCAATTGCAGCGGCGGAGCGGCACGCGAGAAGCGGCTGATTTAGCAGCGCGGAGGGCGCGAAGACGCGGCGGATGGTGGCGGCCTGCAGCGGCAGGTCCGCATTCTGCACGATCCGGTGGATCGCCCCCGCCACCTCCTCCGCCGGTCGCTCCATGCGCTTCCCCCCCGCCTGCGCGCCCCGCTGATTCCCTCTCGACTGACTCGCCGCTTTCTAGAAAGGTGCTTGGGCGGGTAACCGGATCGCGACTCGAACGAAAGCAGTTGCTGGGTGTGCAGGGCAAAGCGGGTGGATGGTAAATGAGGACGAGAGATTGAGAGTGGAGTGGAGAAGCAAGCAAGGTGTGGTGGAGGATGGATGAGCAGCGCATGGTTCGATTTGCAATGTCGAGACACGAAAACATTTTGCAGTCTTCGTCGCGACGCCAGTCATGCAGCGAATCACAGGAGACCACGTGGTGAAAGGAGGAAAACTGGTGCGAGTCAGCAGCAAAAATCTAGGCATTAGTTTAGATAACTGAACAACCTGGGTGTATAAACTTTAGACATTTGTCTTCAGTTTCTGGTACACATTTACATCAACCCCTTCCCATCTGACAAGTCGCTGTCCCAATTGCGCCGCAATCATGTCTCGCCGACCGCGAACTTGTCCGCGGACAGAGCTCTCCTCCGCTAGCGCTTCCCCCTCCGCGAAACCGTTTCCAATTCACGGGGAGCTGCTGGCGGGCGTGCTGGCGCTGCTGGACCCGCTGCTGCTGCTGCGCGCGCGACTCGTATGCGCGGAATGGTGCCACGTCATCAGCTCCTCGCGCCACCTGTGGCAGCGAGTGGTGGAGAGACAAGTGACGCTGGCCGATAGGGCACGTGCTGGGGCAGATATCGCCACGGAGGGAGCTGAAGGGGGGAACGCGGGGCTCGGAAATGCGGAAGTAGGAGGAGGAGGCGCGGGTGACGAGAAGAATAGGTCGGGCGGGGGCGGAAAGGGGGGCGCAGCGCGGAGGGGAACAAAGGAGAGGGGAGGAAAGGCGGAGAGTGGGGGCGCGGGAAGGGAAGCGGGAAGAGGGCAGGATGGCGCGGAGGAGGGGAGCGGGGGGGAGGAGGTGGAGGGGATGGGGAATGAGGGCGTGCGCGCGGCCGTAGGGATGGCGGTGGGGGCGGAGCAGAGGAGACGGTATGGGCGGGGGGAAGTGAGGGTGTGTGTGATGCGCGGCCACACCAGGGGGAGGTGAGCAGAGGTTGGGGGGCGGTGTGGGTGGAGGTGGGAGGGGGAGGGAGATGGGGGGGAGAGAGTGGAGGTGAGGATAGGTGAGGGAGGGGAGGCGAGGGGAGGTGAGGGAGGATGATCGCAGGGCAGGGGTACAAAAGGGAGGTGGGGAGAAGTGAGCATGAGAGGCGGTTGGTGCACGTGATGTGTGCGTCCATCCATCCATCCATCCATCCATCCATCCATCCATCCATCCATCCATCCATCCATCCATCCATCCATCCATCCATCCATCCATCCATCCATCCATCCATCCATCCATCCATCCATCCATCCATCCATCCATCCATCCCTGCATGCATGCTCTTGATTCCTCTTCCACTCCGCTCAGTGCGTCCCCTAGTGCGCCCATTCCTCTTTCTCCTCCCCGCCATTGCCTTCCATTCCATGCTCCTTGCGTTGGCCCTCACCGCCCCCCATGAAAGCCCCCCATGAAAGCCCCCCATGAAAGCCCCCCCATGAAAGCCCCCCATGAAAGCCCCCCCATGAAAGCCCCCCATGAAAGCCCCCCATGAAAGCCCCCCATGAAAGGCCCCCCATGAAAGCCATGTCCCCTGCCCACTGCCTGCTCACCCCTGCCCCCTCCGCCCCGCCCTGCTCTGCCCTGCTGTGCTCTGTTATGGTGGCCACTGACATGCACGCTCTGGCCACTGACATGCACGCTCCTGCCCTGCCCTGCCCTGCCCTGCCCTGCCCTGCCCTGCCCTGCCCTGCCCTGCCCTGCCCTGCCCTGCCCTGCCCTGCCCTGCCCTGCCCTGCCCTGCCCTGCCCTGCCCTGCCCTGCCCTGCCCTGCCCTGCCCTGCCCTGCCCTGCCCTGCCCTGCCCTGCCCTGCCCTGCCCTGCCCTGCTCTGCTCTGCTCTGCTCTGCTCTGCTCTGCTCTGCTCTGCTCTGCTCTGCTCTGCTCTGCGCCATGGCAGAGTAGGCAGTGTGGCGATGCGGCATGGCGTGGTGGCCACGGGCGGCTCAGATGATGTAAACCTCCCCATCCCCCTCCTCCACCCCCTACGCACGCGTGTGCACTCCCCCATGCATATACCTGGTGTGTCATGTACGCACACATGCCAAGTGCACTATCACCGTACCGTACCGTCTTTTACCATGTCCCACCTGTTTGCAGTCGTTTCTTCTGCTGTTCCTATGACCAGCCTCCCCACGGGCTCCTCCCATTCCCATGTGCTCACTGCTCCCCTCTGTCCCTGTGCGCGACTTCCTTTGTGCCCTCCTCCTCCTCCTCCTCCTCCTCCTCCTCCTCCTCCTCCTCCTCCTCCTCCTCCTCCTCCTCCTCTTCCTCCTCCTCCTCCCCTGCAGTGTGTGCGCCTGTGGCAGGTTCCTGCACTCCCAGCTCTCCCTTCCGCGCATGGTTCTGCCTCCTCCTCGCCCTTCTCCCCGCCTGCCTGCTGTCAGACGGCTTGCTTCCCCTCTCCAGCCTCTCAGCCCATCACAGCCGTTGATCTAACAGACGTGATGGTGAGCCGTTGATGAGCCTATTGGCGTCTGAATGGCAGTGCTCCCTGCAGGGCCATGTCACGTGTGTGCTTGCTCCGCCTCTCCTCCGCTTTCCATGTTCCCCTACTTCTTTTCTTCCTCCCTTCACTTCTTGCCCCTTCTCTCCTCTCTGACTGACCCCCTCCCTCTCGCACCTCCCTCATCTCGCTCACCTCCCCTCCCCACGTTCCCAGCTCCTTGCTGCATCGGGCACGCAGGTCTTTGCATGGAACAAGGAGACCGGGAAGCTGCTCAGAAGCTTCGGCGGCCACCACCAGCGCATTCGCACGATCAGGTGAGCGGATTAAATCAGATCAGATCGGATATGGCCTGGCTGTGAGCGGATCAGATCAGATCTCATCCACTCTCATGCTGTGGCCGCTTCCCTGTCCGTTCTGAGTTATCAGTGCAGTTGTCAGTTAAAGTTGTCGCTTTCCTTGCCTCACCTCTCTCACCTCTCTCACCTCTCTGCCCACACACACTCATGGACACATGCATGCAGCTATGACGACACGGACCTGCTAGCAGCATGCAGCGACGGCACTGTTCATGTGTACGACATATACAGTGGCATGACCACCCACATCCTCCGTCCACACGCTCGGGCGCGTGGCGGGGCGGCAGCCATGAGCTACAGTTCCACCATGGGGCTGCTGCTGTCGGGCGGCACGGACGGCACGGTTCGTCTTACTGACTGCCGCTCATCGCTGCAACTGCACACCCTGCTCTTCACCGACCCCTCCCCAGGTACCACCTGCTCTTCACCGACCCCTCCCCAGGTACCACCTGCGCTGAATCGCACCCTTCCAGGTACCACCTGCGCTGAATTGCACCCTTCCAGGTACCACCTGCGCTGAATTGCACCCTTCCAGGTACCACCTGCGCTGAATTGCACCCTTCCAGGTACCACCTGCGCTGAATTGCACCCTTCCAGGTACCACCTGAGCTGAATTGCACCCTTCCAGGTACCACCTGCGCTGAATCGCACCCTTCCAGGTACCACCTGCGCTGAATTGCACCCTTCCAGGTACCACCTGCGCTGAATTGCACCCTTCCAGGTACCACCTGCGCTGAATTGCACCCTTCCAGGTACCACCTGGCCTGAGTACCACCCTCCTGAGGTCGCGTCTGCATCAAGTACTAACCTTCCTAGGTAGCTCCTGCCTGTATCACCCTCTCCAGGTGCCACCTGCTTCCCCAGGCACCACCTGCCAATCCCCCATTGCAGTCCATAGTCAGTCGTGCAGAGTTCCACGCTTGATTGAGCAGCTTTGGGAATGATATCCACCGCTGTGCACTGTTATAGTGTTACCATATTATGCCATCTCCCCACTCCCCTCCTGCAGTGACTTCGGTGCTTCTCTCAGCGCCCAGCAACCGAGTGATGGCCGCTTCGGCATCGGGCCACCTGCGAGTGTGGGACCTCAGGTGGGTCTTATGGTGTTCTGGAAGTTCTCATATCAGGTCAGCTGGGTGCAAGTTCCTGCAAGTGTCGGATTCTGGGAGGTCAGGTGAGCTGTCCATTGCTTTCTGCACCCGCAACCCACATATTCTTACTGCCACTCTCTCCTCCTCCCCTTCCCACCTCTCCTATTACTCCATCCCTCTTACAATCTCATCTCCCCCCCGCCCTCCTCTCCTCCCTCTGCAGGTCCCCTTCTCACACACTCATGGATACTGCAATCTCGCCCCCCACCCACACCACACTCGCCCTCCCCTCCTCCCCACTCGCGCTCCCGCTTGTCCTGCTGACAGCTGGCGCCACGGGATTGGTCCAAATCTTGGATGCCGCCTCCCTCACTCCCCTTCGCCGCCTGCGCCGGCCGCCACTAGCCGAGCTGGCACTGGGCGGCGGAGCAGGGGTTGCAGTTGAGGTGGATGGGAGTGGTGGGACAGGAGAAGGGCAGGGATTAATGCGAGGAACAGGGTGGGACATGAGGGAAGGTGGGGAAGAGAAGGTGCAGAGCCAGGGTGGGCAGAGGGGTAGGGGCAGCATGGAGGAGCATGCTTCGACTGGAGGAAACGGGGCAGCTGCTGGTGTGAGCGGTAGGGGGGTGTTGGGAGGAGTGACAGCTGGAGTAACTGGCATCGCTGCAAGAACATCCACCTTTGTCACATCGCATGTCGATGGAACTGCAACCTTATGGTTTGTTGGTCTGTAGTGCTGTGATGTAACAAATACCGGAAATATTTTCGTCCAGGGTGTAGGGTTTTTTAGTTTCACTAATTACGTGTGCAAGTACTCTGAATCCACTACGGGACAGCAACCCTCAGAACTAATGAACCACAGTAGCTGTACAACTTTCCTCCAGATGTTTCCAAGGTGTTCAGCCAACATGGGCATGGCACATTCTAGCAACGATTGTCAATGAGTGATTTCTGCAGATGCTTTCACAGTTTCTGTTCCAAATGTTGGGAAAACAGTACATGCAAGACGATTGGTGCAGATCAATGTTCAGGATAAGTATCTTCTCAGTTTTCAGGCTACGGATGTTGGCATGATTGTCGTCTGGAAGCATAGGTACCTTCTGCACCATCCAGTGCCATGATGAAAGAAAGCATGATACACCATCTGATGAGTGCCATTTTGTAAAAAATCAACTACCAGTATTCAGGTAAACAAGGCATTAAAGTGCATATCAATCAGCCTCCGAAGCTGTTTGATTCTAGCACAAACGGCACGTTTCAAAGTGCATACCCTAATCAGATATTTAAGGCAGCTCACAGCTCGTCGTGACCAGCATCCTGCAACAAATGACAAATAATCCACAATTAGTGCTACAGCCGTGGTGTCAAGGTCAAAGGGTTACAGTAGTGATGGAGTAGCAATGCATGGCAGGCGTGGGGTTCAAGATGAGTGCAGCATAAGAAGACTCACCTCCTTGGCCTCCTCCGCATCCTCCTTATCCTCAGCGGCCTCCGCAGCCTCAGCATCAGCCTCGGCATCATCCTGAAACCAATGGAGCCAAGATACAACATCCATGAGGCACAAACACAGCTCGACCTAATAGCTACAGAAGACAGGATTCGAACAAAGATGAGTGCAGTATGGTACGAAATTGCTCACCTCATCATCAGCATCATCGTCCCCAGCGTCATCCTCCTTCTCCTCCTCCTCCTTGGACTTCTCGGCCTCGTCATGCATCTTCTTCTCCTCCTGCATCGACCAAATGCGCATGAAGAGTTAGCACATCCTTAGACAGACCTCACTTGGCAACGCCCGAGTTCAGTGTCTACACTTACCGCCTTCATGGCGCCCCAAGTGTCCTCAGCGAACTTGCGAGCATACTCAGCGTCATCAGTGACAAGGATGTTGTCAAAGATGGAGCCTGCCTTGACCTGCGAAAAAGGAGTACATTCACTCATTAGTATGAATGCCTCGTACAGAGGTCTGTCGAAACCTTGATAACAGCCTACGACACACACCTGCCAGATCTCAAAGCCAGCATAGCGCAGAGGTGGTAGACGATAGGCCTCTGGCTTCTCCACGAAGTCTGCAATACCAAATGATGATGTTCTAAGTTATATTCAAAATTCCATACAGATACGAAACCAGTTGAGCTGAACATTCCATTCAAACTTACCAGGGTTGTCAATCATAGGAGGCTTCCACTTGCCCTTGTACGCGGGGTTCTTGATCCTCTGTGGAAGGGTAAGCCAGAGGGGCAAGACATTTGCAACTAGCATACGTAAGCCGCTAAAGCTAAGCGACGACATTTCGGAAATCAAGCAGGCACAATAAAAGCCACTCGAAAACCTCAGCTTCATTTACAGGTAATCGCATTTACGGGTAAGAGCAACACGCGAATCTTACCTTGGGCTTCCATTCGCCCTTGTACTCGGGGTTGGGGATAAGAGGAGCCTCCCATTCACCATCATCCTCATCGTTCCAGTCCTCGGGCTGAAAGCAAAGACATGGCATACAGTATCACGCGAGTTAATCAACCAGGTTCTTCCTTTGAAGTATCTGTCTGTTGGCTCCGCATTTGCGCAAATGCTTATATAATTTAGCGACCAGATGCTCACCTTCTTCGCCTCAGGATCCACAATCTCGGCGGCGATGTCATCCCAGCCCTGCATAAACGATGGGTTTAGGAAAAAAGGAGTCAGGGAATAATAGATGAGAAACATGGAAGAGAACCAAATGAAAATTCCAGAAAATCCTCGAAATTCCGCGTATCCCTGTTATGAGAAGGCCAAAGTTCTAATTCACGTACATCGGGCTTCTTGTCCTCGGGATCATCCATGTACTCGTCGTCAACCCAGTCCTCGGGCTTCTTGACGGACTTGTCAGGGATCTGGCGAGGCTTCAGGAAATCCCATTCCGCAAAAATGTCGCCGCCAGACTTCTCGACGTTGTCGATCAGGATCTTGTAGGTGTTGTTGGGGCTCAGGATGAAAGTGTAGACGTGGGAAAGCGTGTCGGTCTCGCACTCAACGTTCTTCTTAATCAACATGTTCTTGCCCTCGTGGGTGATGATGGCGTGGACCCTCTTGGTTGAGTACCCGCAGATGTCTGGGCCGAACATAATGCTGCATACACGGAAAGAGCAATATGTTGAATGCGATGTCTCGAGCAACGAAAGATAGAAAAAACAAACAAAAAACAGTCAGGATCAAACCTGTAAGGCGTGTCGCCACCGAAGTTCTTCTGGTCGACCTCTCCCTCCAGAAGCTTGATGTAGCCACCACCACAGTCAAGATCCTGCTCATGCTTCACTTGGAACTGAAGAACGAGGTCCTTGTCCTTGTTGTCGAATTCCTCGATCTTGGAGGAAATCGCGAAGAAACGAGCGTCGGGGTGTGTCTGGATACCTGCACAAGAAATTAGTCCGTTGATGCGATTACTTTTTTTACGTACGCTCAAAAGAGGATATTGACACAACAAAAGAAAGAAACTTGCCTTTATCCTCAGGATCCTTGTAGTACTTCCCAGCCGTGTGCTTCCATTCTCCCGCAGCTCCCTCCGACTTCTTCCAGTCGGAAACTACCCACCTCGACTGCCATGTGTCTGCACAATGATAAGAGAATGCGCTCAGATCTCGCCAAGGAACTACGGAAATTGTGTCACAGAGCCAGTTCTAGCGGAAAACGCTCCCCTCAATCACTGTTACACCCACCGTCAAACTTCTCTTCGAAGTAAACCTTAGCTGAGACAGCTAGGCAGAGAGCCAGGAGGCACACAAATCGAAGAGCCTGCGCCATTGTCGCTAAGCTAGGAGATCCCAACCCGTCAATGTAACGAAATGCAAATTCAAGTTGTGGACTACATAAGAGGATCTGGTGACTGGCAGGGGGAGCTAGCCGAGGATCGGTGACTGAGCAGGTGGTTGCTTGGTTGGGTTGGTGGTGCATCTAGAAACTTGTGCCGAAGCCAAACCCAAGGGACGACCACAGCTGGAACTTGTTTTGGCGCCAAAGTCGAGACAGCCACTCAGCGTCGACATTGCTCGCGTGGGCCAATCACGAAAAGCCAACCACGTCAAAATGAGCATCGAGAAGCTGAGTGCTATAACCGTCGATCTAGTCGCTCAGAAATCGAAAGCCGTTGGCTGCAGCTAGACTTGCAAGGTTGTGTCGCATGAACTTCCTTTTCTGCCGCTGACAAAGTCAGAATTTCAGAATTGTGGTACACCTTCTAGAGTCGTGGATGAAATATGAATGCACTCATACACAGAAGAAAAACAAGGTGTATCCGTTACACCCGCAACTTGCTTTCAAGCGGTGAATCTTTAAAGAGGATGAAGCCTTGGACCAGGCTTGAGCAGCAGTTGACGTGGCAACGGCTCCAAGAGTTTCACATTGTGCCAGTCAGACCCAGGGAGGTGGAGGTCACCACAACATTCGCTGCCGCGTGGCGTAGATGCTGGCTTGATCTATGATCCACGGCACTTCTCCAGCAGTCATGCGGAATCTCTTGCTGGCCAGGATCAAGTCTTCAAGCCCCATTCCAGCGTGGCATTCTGTTCCTCAGGCCGTTCCCTAGATCCGACGTGGTAGGCCCACACCACCGAGCCAAACACCCCATTGTCCAACAAAGCCAAAATCATCCAGCACACGCGCTTCGCGTTTGTGGCTGGCAGCTGGAGCTGTGAAAGGGGAACGTGGGAATCCAGCCAGCAGGGAGGGGAGGGAGGAGCAAAATCATCCCACAGCAGATACAGAAATTCAAATTCACAAGCCAGTTTTCTTTGACATTAGTTGCTCCGAGCCGTACCCAAACCATACGAGAGGAACTCCCCTCGTTCGTGCTCCTCCAACGACGCCATGGCTGCCATCGCCCACTCCGCGTCGCTCCTCTGCGAGGCGTCCCTCGCCGCCGCGCGCTCGGCCAGCTCGCTGCCGTCCCACTCAGGCCTCAAGGCTGAGCCCCGCGTGGCCGTCCGCAGCCTGCGCGCGCAGCGCGCCAAGACCGCCAAGCCCATGACGGTGCGCGCGAGCGCGGGCACCGCCGTGGAGGGATTCGAAGTTAAGGCGGTGCCGACTTCGCCGATCGAGGGGCAGAAGACGGGGACGAGCGGGCTGCGCAAGAAGGTGAAGGTGTTTCAGGAACCGCACTACCTGGCCAACTGGATCCAGGCGCTCTTCGACTCGCTGCCCGCCGAGGATGTCAAGGGCTCGCTGCTCGTGCTGGGCGGCGATGGCCGTTACTTCAACCGCGAGGCCGCGCAGGAGATCATCAAGATCGCCGCTGGTAACGGCGTCGGGAAGATTCTCGTCGGCAAGTGAGTAGCGAACCTTGTCCTTCATGCCTCGCCCCTAAGGTTTTTTTTTTTTTTTTGCTCCTTCTGCGCTTGCCACCATCCCGTCCGGCCCCCACCCCGTCCCCCCTGTCCACGCGCCCATGCTGTGTTTCGCTTGAGCCAATTATTTCTTCCTCGCAATACCTGTCTTCCGTGCTCCGCCTCACCTCCCGTCTCTTGTCCCGTTCTCTCCGCGTGTGCACGCATGCAGGGACGGCATCATGTCCACGCCCGCCGTGTCGGCTGTCATCCGCAAGCAGAAGGTGAGGGGAAGCACATTGCATGGCGTGGCATGGATGCATGGGTCTGCAGCATGCATGGCATGGAAGGGCTGCTCACATTTCCTAATCCACATGCCTTTCAAGTGAGCTACCAGTGCGAAATTGGGCTATGAATGCGAGGATGGCGTACTAATTATATCATCCTCGAATCCCCGCCCATGCGCCTGCCCCCTGCGCGTCCCCCGTGCGCATCCTCCGCGCGTGCAGGCGTACGGCGGGTTCATTATGAGCGCGAGCCACAACCCCGGCGGGCCCAAGTACGACTGGGGCATCAAGTTCAACTACAGCAGCGGCCAGCCCGCGCCCGAGTCCATCACCGACAAGATCTACGGCAACACGCTCTCCGTACGTACCTGCTCCCCCTCCCCGCGCTCTCTCCGTACATGTCGCTTCCGCGACACGCTCGCCATAAGTGGCACTTGAGTTCTTTGCCAGTGTCCCCGCCGGTTTTATCTCTGCACGCGTCAACCTTCTCCCTTGCCCATCCCCCACCTTCTCACCGACCGCGCCTCCCGTGCGCAGATCAAGGAGATCAAGCAGGCGGAGATCCCCGACGTGGACCTGGCCAAGACCGGCACGACCAAGTTCGGGTCGTTCGAGGTGGAGGTCGTCGACCCCGTCGCCGACTACCTCGAGCTCTTCAAGGTACGCTCCAAGCAATCATTAAACACAGAATAGCACCCGTCCCCGTTCCCCCGCCTCCCACACCCGCGTTCACCCATGCGCATCTCCACCCCACTTGATCCAGTTTCAACGCCGCATGGCTCCGTCGATCATTCCGCCACACTTCGCCCCATCTCTCCTTGCTTTCCCCCTCCATCCCTAACGTCCTCCGCACTCCATCCCTGTCCCCTATTCTCCCCCATTGCCCCCGGCCACCCCTGCTCCCCCCCCCCTCACCTCCCCCTCCCCCCTCCCTTCCTCAGCAAGTGTTCGACTTCGACATGATCCGCGCGCTCGTGACGCGCCCGGACTTCTCGCTCAAGTTCGACGCCATGCACGCCGTCACCGGCGCGTACGCCAAGCCCATCCTCGTCGACGCGCTCGGCGCGCCCGAGTTGGCAATCATCAACGGCACGCCGCTCGAGGATTTCGGCGGCGGCCACCCCGACCCGAACCTGACGTACGCGGAGGAGCTCGTGAAGATTATGTACGCCCCCGATGCGCCCGATTTCGGCGCCGCATCGGACGGCGACGGCGACCGCAATATGATCCTCGGGAACAACTTCTTCATCACGCCGTCCGATTCCGTCGCGATCATCGCCGCCAACGCGCAGGCCGCCATTCCGTACTTCGCCGCCGGCCCCAAGGGCCTCGCGCGCTCCATGCCCACCTCCGCCGCGCTCGACCGCGTCGCGACGGGGCTCAACCTGCCGTTCTTCGAAGTTCCCACCGGGTGGAAGTTCTTTGGAAACCTCATGGACGCGGGTACGCTGAGCATCTGCGGAGAGGAGAGCTTCGGAACTGGATCCGATCACATTCGGGAAAAGGACGGACTGTGGGCCGTGCTCGCGTGGCTGTCCATCCTCGCGTATCGCAACAAGGACGTGCCGGTTGGCGGGAAGCTGGTGTCGGTGGGTGACGTGGCGCGCGAGCACTGGGCGCAATACGGGCGGAATTTCTTTTCGCGGTACGACTACGAGGAGTGCGCGTCGGAGGGCGCGAACGCCATGGTGGCGCACCTCAGGGAGATCCTCGCCGCCGCCAAGCCCGGAGATAAATACGGTGAGACGCGGTTGAGTGCGGTGAGGGGATGCGGTGAAGGGGGAAGAGTGGGCGGATGGCGTGGGATTGCAGGAGGTGGGAGGGAGTGAGGGTGGGTGGCTGACTGGCTGGCTGGTTGGGCTGTTGGGTGGTTGGGGGCATGTGAAGGAAAACAGAGACAGTGAGCGCAAGAGAGCGAGGGGGGCAGGGCACGGAATGGCACAAGGATAACAAAAAGACACACGAGTCGCCACGAACCAACCAAGCACCGCATCCTGTCTACCTCTCATTCATTGAAGGTCATCTCGGCCAAACATGTCCAAAGGCCAATCGTTGAGTCAGAGGCACTAGGCGGTGATGCTGTCCAAACATGTCTTGACAAGGCATTCGCCAGCAGCATGCCCTTGCCACATCCATGCATGCTGCCATGCCGTCCTGGCCCATGCCTCGCTGCCCCGCGCCCTCCATTTCCCGAGCACAGCACACCGTGGTTCTTCGCCGCGCTCTCTAATCTAATGCACCCCCCAACCCCTTCCCCTACCCCACTAACCCGTCAGCAGACGAGGAAGCGTGGCGAGACAGCGCATTCGCTCTCTTGTCTCTCAACACGCTCTCTCTAACCAACCAATCCAACCCCCTCCATCATCGATCCATCCTCCCATCCTGCAGGTGCCTACGAGCTGGCGCTAGCGGACGACTTTGAGTACACGGATCCCGTGGATGGGAGCGTGGCCAGCCAGCAGGGCATCCGCTTCGTCTTCACCGATGGCTCGCGCATCATCTTCCGCCTCTCCGTACGTTGCCCCACCACCAACCCTGTGTTACTGTGCGGCCCGTCCTTGGGGCATTGGCTGCTCTCCCTCTGCTCCATCCCGCCCTCTCCGCCCCACCCTCTCTGCCCTGCACTCACTACTGCACCTCGGCCCTTGCATTCAAGAGCCTGAAAAGCCCATGCCTTTCTCTGCCACTGCTCATCTACATCCCATGCACCCATCCTCCCTTACCCCCAGCTTCCCATCCCTCCCTCCTCCCATATCCCCATGCAAGCATTCATCAAGGCATGGGCAGTGTGGGTGCCACCATCCGTGAGTATGTGGAGCAGTGTGAGCTGGACGTCTCTCAAGGCCAATACTCACCTCTATCCCATCCTCCTACCCTCCCACCGTCCCATTCTTTTTTAAAACACATCAGGGCACGGGCAGTGCAGGGGCCACCATCCGAGTGTACGTGGAGCAGTATGAGCCGGACGTTGCTCGTCATGGCCTCGACGCACAGGAGGCCCTCAAGCCCCTCATCGGTGAGCCCCGCCTCTCTGCCTCCCTGCCTCCCTGCCTCCTTGCCTCCTTGCCTTGCCTCCTTGCCTTGCCTGCCTGCCTTGCCTGCCTGCCTCTAGCCTGCAAGGTCTCCTCCCTTGCTGCTTCCCTTCATGTCTTTCTGACGTGCATCTGCACGCGCGAGCACAAGCGGCGCAAGGCCCCAGGGCATGCGACATGACAGCCCTCCTTTGCCCCAGGGCATGCGACATGACAGCCCTCCTTTGCCCCAGGGCATGCGACATGACAGCCCTCCTTTGCCCCAGGGCATGCGACATGACAGCCCTCCTTTGCCCCAGGGCATGCGACATGACAGCCCTCCTTTGCCCCAGGGCATGCGACATGACAGCCCTCCTTTGCCCCAGGGCATGCGACATGACAGCCCTCCTTTGCCCCAGGGCATGCGACATGACAGCCCTCCTTTGCCCCAGGGCATGCGACATGACAGCCCTCCTTTGCCCCAGGGCATGCGACATGACAGCCCTCCTTTGCCCCAGGGCATGCGACATGACAGCCCTCCTTTGCCCCAGGGCATGCGACATGACAGCCCTCCTTTGCCCCAGGGCATGCGACATGACAGCCCTCCTTTGCCCCAGGGCATGCGACATGACAGCCCTCCTTTGCCCCAGGGCATGCGACATGACAGCCCTCCTTTGCCCCAGGGCATGCGACATGACAGCCCTCCTTTGCCCCAGGGCATGCGACATGACAGCCCTCCTTTGCCCCAGGGCATGCGACATGACAGCCCTCCTTTGCCCCAGGGCATGCGACATGACAGCCCTCCTTTGCCCCAGGGCATGCGACATGACAGCCCTCCTTTGCCCCAGGGCATGCGACATGACAGCCCTCCTTTGCCCCAGGGCATGCGACATGACAGCCCTCCTTTGCCCCAGGGCATGCGACATGACAGCCCTCCTTTGCCCCAGGGCATGCGACATGACAGCCCTCCTTTGCCCCAGGGCATGCGACATGACAGCCCTCCTTTGCCCCAGGGCATGCGACATGACAGCCCTCCTTTGCCCCAGGGCATGCGACATGACAGCCCTCCTTTGCCCCAGGGCATGCGACATGACAGCCCTCCTTTGCCCCAGGGCATGCGACATGACAGCCCTCCTTTGCCTCGCTAACTTCGCCCCTTCCTTGCATGCATGTCTCACTGAATGCTTGTGTGCGTGCATTCTCCTCTCCTCCCCTGCATGCAGACATTGCCCTGTCGGTGTCGAAGCTCCAAGAGTTCACCGGCCGTGACAAGCCCACCGTCATCACCTAAACGCTGCGCCTCTGCACTCCTTTGCACTCATCTGCTCTCCGCACAACCTAGTGTTAGACTACCATAGCTCGTAAGAGACAGCCGTGCCTGCAATAAATGCAGGCGTTTTGTAGGGCCTGGCGTGTGCTTGTGTTTCCACCTGAATTGTGAGTGAAGCCCTTGTTTGTAAATGAATCACCAGTTTGACTTGACAAGCCTCTGTCCGGGGGAGAAGTAAAACCAAAACACTGAGAGTCATGATGTGTGGCTGGTACGGTATTGCTACCAGTACCCATTTATACAGCAAGTCGATAGTGGGAATGGGGAAAGGAGAAAGCTGATCATGTCCAATGAGAAGTATTGCAAGGCGGGCAGAGGCTCAGTTGCCAGCCAGCTTGTTCCAGATTAACTACTAACCACTGCACTGCACTGCACTGCTTGCGCTCACTGAAACACTCATCTCATCACACTGCTGGTGCCTGGCATGGCATGAGGCCATACTGTACTGCCTGACTGGCACTGTATGACTGCTTCACATCACAACCAACTGCCTGCTGCTGGCAGGTGGATGGATGGAGAGGAGAGTCTCGCTGCACTTACTGTGTGAGAGAGAGTGAGAGACCTTAATTGGAACAAGCAGATGGTCTGTTTTTTACAGTAGGCGTATTGAACTTAATGTGGTGGCAAGTGGATAGAATCTCTGTGCATCGACAGTTGTAGCTGGTTGGTGGAAGTGGAAGGTGTTCTCCATGGTATGGTATGGTGCCAGGGCAGGGTACCGTATACTTCTGAGACGCCTAAAAAACATACCTACTGGTAACGAAGCGGCAGGTGAATACAGTAGGTAAAAGCATATCGCATTAATAGTATTGAGAGGCCTCTGTCCACACAAGCGCAGGGTTGGCCACTTTATCCATGGTCAGGTCAACATGCTGGTCCCCGGGCAGAAAAACATATTCACACGGCACTTTATCCTCCACATACCCTTGTACCACCGCCACTCCTTGCACCACATTATATGGAAACGGCTTCGGCGCGCGCGGGTGGTTGGCGAGTTTTGTCCCGGTTAGGAAATTAGTCACTCCGGTTTCTAAAGACGGCATGGTCGCTCCCATGCAAGACGCGCTGATCCCAAGGGGTTGACCCAGAACCCCCCCTACAGTCACATGCTTCACATTGAACCGCTTCCGGAGATTATGCGTGAATATAGCGCAGGCTGAGAAGCAGTTCCCGTTTGTGACTATAACGAGCGGCCGGGCCCCAAACACCGGGCCCCGAAACGGGACCTTCTCAAGCCCGGGGAACGCGGCGAGCTTGAACAAGCCCGAGTACACTCCGGTCTCCCCATCCGGGGAAAACGTTTCCTCCTGAAACGGCTTGAAATCCCGCACGCTTTTCACCGGCGTGGCCTCGTCAACCTTCACGTACTTATCCCACTGGTAGAACGAGGTGAGCTGCTTGTCCAGTAATGAGAGCATGAATGCATTGGATATGAGCAGCTGCTGTGGCATCTGCACGCGCCCCTTGGGGGCCTTTTGCTTGCCGGCCACGAGGCGCAGCAGGAGGTATGCTATGTCGGCGTAGCCCCCGCCGTTGCCACTCACGTCCATTATGATTCGCTTGCCGTGCCTTGGAAAGGGTGAGTGGGGCCAGGGAGGGAACACGAGGGAATGAGGAGGCAGAAGGAGAAGAAAAGGAAAGGGACAGATGAGGTGAGGTGGACGGCGCCAGGAGGAAGGTCCGGGGAGGAAATGCGGCCCGTGGGGTAATGGGGCAGGGGCGACAACAACGACTGCTGCCACTCACTCTCAGGAGTTCTGTCCTGCTGTGTCTGGGAAAGGGGATGGGAGTTGTGGGGGGAGTCACAGTGGGGAGTGGGGGAGGGAGGTGGATGGAACCAGTGGAATGGGGTGAACGAGCAGTGGGGCGGACGCTGGGGAAGAGAGTTCTGGACTCACTGGTTGGCGAGATCAACGGCCGTGGAGATCTCGGTGAGCAGGAAGGCGATGAGGGCTTCATCTGAGCCGTCCAATGCTGGCAGGAAGGTGTGCAGCCAGATGACTGCCGTGGCGTTGTCTGCTAGCAGGTAGACCTGGGGAAGGGGGGAGGTAGGGGAGGCGGAAGAGAGGGAGAGTAAGTGAGAAAGAGGGTGAGAAGGAGCGCGGAGCATGTTGTTTGCGGCGCCGGATGTTGGTGAGAGCAAGTGGAGAGATGGCAGGTGTGCGCCAGATGACTGCTGTGGCGTTCTCTGCTCGTAGGTAGACCTGGGGGAGGGGAGCGGGGAGGGGAGGGGAGGGTGAACGGAGGAAGAGAGGGAGAAGAGCACGAGCAGACCTTAGGAGGGGGACGAGGGAAGAAGCAGCGGGGTGCATGTGGAAGAGATGGAGTGGCATGGCATGGCAGGCACCACATTACGCTGCATGCTACCACGTGTATCAAAGCACACGGCACCCACGGGAATCAGCGCTGTTGCTGTGGACAGTTTCTGCGCTCCCGCCAGGTCATTCGGCGCTGGCGCTGACGAGGCACGCCCGTTGCCGCCACCAGCAGCACTACTAGCAGCATCAGCAGGGGCAGCAGATTCAGCAGACTCAGCAGCAGCAGCCGCTGCTTGGTATTGGGACCGGAACAGCAGGGGGGCGGCAGGGGATGGGGGAGGGGGGCGGAGCAGGGAGGGGCGGGGGTCGAGGTCGGGCCTTGGGAACTCCACAGCCAGAGTCGGCCACCCACACGCTCTCTCCGCGCTGCTGTCGCCCATCCCTGCCCGACTGCTGCCCCATACCCCTGCTCCTACTGTGCTCTCTGCTCGCTTCTCTGTGCCTTCTATCCCGCCTGTGCTCTTTGCATTCTCTGCACTCCCTACACTCTCAGCTCGGTTCCCTGTCAATGTGCTCTCCGCTCCCTCGGTGCTTTCTGCTGCGGCCTCTGCTACCCATGCCCCCACGCCCCAAGCTTTCTTCTTCAGCCTCTCACTCAGCAGAGGCCCAGGTCTCCTCACCCTCCCCTCCCCTCGTTCTTCTCCTCTCCCATCTCCCCGTTCCCTCTCCCCCCACCGCTCCCTCTCCCACTCCTTCTCCGCGTCCCCAGCACCTTCCCCCCTCCCCCCATCCGCATCCAGAGCCCAATCTGTCCCCCTTTCCCTGCTGCGCGCCCCCAGATCAACCCCAGCTGCCCCTATTCCCCTGCTTCCCTCAGCAGCAGCAGCAGCGGCAGAAGCAGCAGCAGGGGCAGAAGCAGCAGCGGCAGAGGCGGTGGGTTGGCGAGGGGTGGCGCAGTTTGCCGCCCAGTAGGAGGTGGCGGAGTCGAAATTGGTCGGCAGCACTGCCACCCACGGCACCGTCACCTGCACTGGTGTGGCACTCGTGCTGTCAATGCAGGGGAGAGGTGGGTGGAGCAGGGAAAGGGGGAGCGGGAGAGTGGGAGAATGGGGAGCGGGGGAAAGGGGAGCAGGGGACAGTGGCACATGGTGTGAGGTATGTACGAGGTGAGTGACGGGAGTTGAGTGCTGCATGCCCCATGTCTCATCCCTCCCACCCCTCCCAACTCACGCCAGTATCAGCTCCACCACCACACTGTCATTCGTCGGCGCGAGACTCCGCTGTGCGAACGCGCCCTGAGTCGCAATCACCGTGCCCGTCGCCTTGGACACAACCCTTCTTGCAAAGAGCAGATTGAAGCGCACGCCCGAGTCGCGGTACTGCCCCACGTAGCGCGCCGCCCACTCTAATAGGTAGTCCATGGCGGGGGCGCCGTTGATGGTGGTCACCTGCGCGCCCTCGTAGCGGTAGTAGTCGAACTGGTGGAGCACCAACGCCGCCACGTCTAGGCCTTCTAGGAGCACTGGGGAAATGGGGAAAGAGAACAGGGGGGGGGTGGAAAGGGGGGGTTCCTTGTGACCTGCGCGCCCTCGTAGCGGTAGTAGTCAAACTGGTTGAGGACCAAGGCGGCTACGTCTAGACCCTCTAGGAGGACTGGCTAGAGGGGAGGGCGGAGGGCGGGTTGGGGGGAAATGGGTGGAAGTGGGGTTGATGGTCGTGACCTGCGCGCCCTCGTAGCGGTAGTAGTCACCCTGGTGCAGCACCAACGCTGCCACGTCTAACCCTTCTAGGAGCACTGCGGGAAGGGACGGGACAATGGGCAAGGCGGTGAGGGGGAGGGAGCGAGAGGGGGTTTCTTGTGACCTGCGCGCCCTCGTAGCGGTAGTAGTCACCCTGGTGGAGGACTAGGGCCGCCACGTCTAGGCGTTCTAGCAGCACTGGGGAAGGTGGGGGGAAGGGGGATGGGGGGTTGGCCGGGGGGGGTGGTGGTGGAAGGGGTTTCGGGAGAAATGGGCGGAAAGGTGGGGAAAGTGGGGAATGGAAACGATGGCGTGGAATGGGCATAGGGGAAAATCGTGCGGAGGCCGCCACTCACGCGAGGACGGCGCGACGCGGATGATCTGGTTACCGTCCTCGACGACGGCGACGAGCGGCAGCGGGAGGTAATAGGACGCGGTTCGGTGGAAGCACGAGGAGCTGAACATCGTGTGGCCGTCGTTAAGACTCATTAGTGCGCGGTAGATTAATGTCTGGAACCGCATCAGGCTCTTAATCCCCTTCCCCGCTAACGCCTTCTCTCGAATCGCGCGCAGGTAGGATACGATATCGACGTCGCTCGGGAGACGCTCATCGGGTGAGTTAATCGCGATGTGTCTGTAAACGTAGAAGTTCGCTAGACCGTTGATGATTGAGTCTATAACGGGGATATCGCGCGACGCTTGGAAGCGGAAGGAGCGGAGGCAGTGCTTTGCTTGTGACGGCGTCGCGAAGCCCACGCCGACAGTCCCGGGCACGACGCGCGCGGTCGCCGCCAGCTGCTCCGCCAGCAGTGCGCATTGGTCGCCTTGCAGGCGCGCCTTTGCGGAGATTTGCCGGGGGGCGGAAGAGAAGACGGCGGAGAGGAAGAGGGGGAGGAGGAGGGAATGGAGGGATCGGCGGAGGCGGAATCGCCGCCGGGCGCCGGCAACGAGATGTTGCCGCGGAAGAGACGACTTGCGTTGACTCGGCGCGCAGTGGGACCCAGCCGCTGCCACGTCAGCCATGCGAACGAGTGGTTCAGGTCAGCGATTACTGTCTGAAGGTGCTGCGACAAGCGAAGAGTAACTACGTAACTAATCTTGAGGCTCTTAATCTTTGAGAGACCCTTGCACGCGAAATTCGACGACAGCATAGAAACGAGCGTAACGAGGCGAATCTCTCGAAACGGCCCATTGTGCGACGAGCGTGACGAGTAACGACTGCGACCCGAGTCAAGCTAGCGCCCTCCAAATCACCATCCCGGATGGCAGCGCTTGTCGAAAAAGCCTATCACTCACGGCAGCCATGGCGCGTGCTGCACACGCGCCTACCAGAGGCTGCCTTACTCGCATCGCATCGCATGCTTCGAGGCTGAGGCTGGCACTGCTAGATACTGCGTAAGCGGGTCGGCGTATTAACGGCCACGTGGAATCGCGGAGCAACAAACAATATCCGATTAAACACAGACCGCACGTCTGCTCCAAAGACTAGGAACCTGGTGCAATGCACCTTGTGCGTGTGATCACTGCGAGGGTTCGTCGTTGCGCGGCGGCTGGGGGGAGGGTGGCGCGAATTAGGTGGGTGGTATGGGGCGGGTCGGGCGGACGAGAGGCACTAATTTAGCTCGTCGCTGCGGGGGGAGAATCAGCACCTTCCCTGCGTGGGGGAGAAGTTCGTCCCCCGATTCGCGAGCGCGGGGGCGCTAGGAGTGCCATATGGCCAATAAGGATGCAGAACCAGCCCCACCAAGACCTGCCCTGGGCGCTTGGGAGCGGTGGTGCTTGTAGCGATCGCGCTCCGGTGTGTGCGGTGCAGGGCTAAGTGCTACAGTGCGAGAAAATGTACACTACGAAAACGACTGATAACCACCATCTACAGCTGAGTGGAAACATGAAATATAGAATTCTTAGGCATTAAAACCGGGGTGCACATTCAGCTGAATGTGCATCAAAGGTTATCCCTTGACTGAGTGGGTTACGAGGTGTGCTTTCAACCCCTTCAAGTCGAAATTCGTTTCCCCCCTCCCCCGCAATTTCGTTTCCCCACGCCCCCGCAATTTCATTTCCCCCTCCCCGTCGAAATTCGTTTCCCCCCTCCTCCGCAATTTTGTTTCCCCCCTCCCCCGCAATTTCGTTTCCCCCCCCTCCCGCCAATCTGTTTCACCCCTCCCGCCATTCGGTTTCACCCACTCCCGCCATTTCACCCCCTCCCGCCACCTACGAAATGCCCGAAGCTCTAGCGGAATCATTTTTTTGTCGCCCCTCGTGAGCCAATCACTGTTTTTCTCCAAACCCCCTTCCCAACATCTCAAGCCGAACCGCGTTGAATGTGCACCCTGGTTTTAACGATCTACTTGTCAGCAGCAGTGGCAGGAGGACCCTTCCAGCGAAAGTTGTCCGCGTATGATTTGGGCTGCATGAAGTGGAGGGACAATAAAAACCAATTTCATAAGTATGCAAGCTAGATGTGGCTCAAGAGCGCACTGGATCTTGAACAGCACAAGGAATAGCAAGCATGAGAAAATCTGCGTGCCATGTTTCGTGGGTGCAGGAAATTGAACAGAGGGTCTAAAGGTCTAGAAGAGCAGAGGGGGAGTAGGGTGTAAACTATGTGCAGTTTTACCTTCTTGATTGGCTTCTGCGGCTCGAGGACCTGAAAACACAGAGGGGGCAAAAGGGAAAAAGAAAAAAAATGTTATCCCAGGCAGAGACTTGTCAGCCATGCCGCACAACATGTACATTGACACAGGGATTGAAACGAGAAACAAGCATGATGAAGCGATGGGGGCAGTTGACATTTACACAACCTGCTGCTGAACCACCTTCATGCTACCCCCGGCACCATTCTGCCGAATACCTGATGGTGCTGCCACGTACCTGATGGTGCTGCCACGTACCTGATGGTGCTGCCACGTACCTGATGGTGCTGCCACGTACCTGATGGTGCTGCCACGTACCTGCCACGGATGGTGCCACGTACCTGGTACTAGTAAATGCCTCAGCCCCACGTTCAAGAAGTTAGCAGTGCCACATGCCGGCTACTTCTCAATACCTGCTACTTTTCACTACCTGGTAGTGCCAGCCATGGCGTTCAACAAAGTCAACGGCATCCTGCTTGGAGTGGAAGGAGAGGGCATGATCTGCCAGATACCCAGTGGTACTGTTAGATACCCTGTGGTACTGTTAGATACCCAGTGGTACTGTTAGATACTTAGTGGTACTGTTAGATACCCAGTGGTACTGTTAGATACCCAGTGGTACTGTTATGTACCCAGTGGTACTGTTAGATACCCAGTGGTACTGCCAGAAACCCAGTGGTACTGCCAGATACCCAGTGGTACTGCCAGATACCCAGTGGTACTGCTAGATACTCAGAGGTACTGCCATCCACGTACCTGGTAGTGCCAGCCGTGGCGTTCAACAAAGTCAACGGCGTCCTGCTTGGAGTGGAAGGAGAGGGCTGAGTCCGCCACACATGCCATGGGGTCCGCTGTTGATGTCCACCCCATCAGGGGGTTCTCCCACCTGCATGCACACATGCACAATACAGCACACAGAGACGCAATCAAGGGACACAGTGCACATGGCGACACGAATACAGATGTGCGCACAAACATATGGTAAGATACGTGCATACCCCAAGTGGGTATGCACATCAAATCATTTCCACAACAACAAAAGCCTGAACGGAATCTCACTTCTGCGTGGTATCGAATCTAATCTTCCACTGTCCATGCCGCCCCATGCCCTGCTGCGACGCGGCTCGCGCAGGACTGTACACAACCACCTGCAAAAAAATGCCCCGCCACGTCAGCAGCGCAGCCGCGGAAGCGCGGAAATCAAAGGGTGATGGAAGGAGAAGGTCGGGCGGGATGAGAGGGAGAGGGAGGAGAAAAGGCAGGGAGAGGCAACGGGGACGACGTTGGCGCTGGATGGACGGTGCGATCCGCGCGCGAGGCAGCTGTTCCGAGCGGACGAAGCGGGTGGATATAAGCACAACGCGAACTAGCTCCGTTACTACCTATTCCGAACCCCCCGCGATTAGGGCCGCGATCTCCGTAGCCGCACCTTCCGCTGGAGTTGCTCCTTGGGAATGCCGGACACCTCTGCCGCTTCGGCCTTCCCCACTGCGGAGCGCTGCGCGGAGGTCGTCAGCGCGCGGAGCTGCGGGAGCGCCGTGCGCGCGAGGGAGAAGCCGCGGCGGTTAAGCGCGGCGGCCATGGCGGCGGCAAGAGCGGTGGATGCGGGCAGTGCAGCGAGTCGCGGTGTGAGCGGGAAAATGAAACGGCTAGCGGCGGATTCGGCGACACTCGCTGCAAGACGGAGGCTGATCTTAGAGTGGGCTCGTCGCTTGGCTTGAGAAAGCAGGTCACAGCTGCATGACTTCGGTGATTGTCGCTGAACTCAATAAGAGCCTCTCCCCGAGCTTAGAGTGCACGATCAAATAAATACAGCCTAGTAAGCATGCTGTAAGGGCAAGAAGTAACATCTACACGTCAGACCTACCAAAACAAAATCCCTTCCTAACAGCAAATCCTAATGTCCTACATATACAAAACCACACACCTGGTGCGCTTATGAAGTCAGCCTGGCTTCTACATCAGCTAGTCAATCATAACAGTGTTATGCCAGACAACATACTATTTGTCGTGCGAAGGTATGGTTGTAACTGCTACCACCTACACTTCCCTCATTTCCACCCATTTATTCCATGAATCGCCGTACCACACCAATCGCAACAGCGTTACGAAATGGTACAGCACCCGCCCTTTGCCGCTTCATTGGACGGTGCTGCTGCCGCTCCCGCCGCCCCCGCTTTCTTCCCCGCCGCCGCCGCCTCGCTCGCCCCAGCCCCAGCAGCCGCCTCCTTGGCCTTCCTAGCAGCTTCCTCCTCTGCCTGCTGCTTCTTCTTCTCCTCCTCAGCCTTCGCCTTCGCCTCCTTCTCAGCCTTCTCCTTCTCCTCCTTCTCCAGCCGCTCCTTCTCCTTCTGTGCCTCCTGCTTCGCCTCCCACTCAACCACCGCATCGGCCGCCGCCTCGCAAATATCCATCAGCGCCGGAATCACCTCCTCCGTCAGATCCGGCCGATCTCGGCGGTCCATTTCCGCGCACCACAGCCCCAGGTTCGCGAGATCAAGTGCCAGGTTCGGCGGCCATTCACCAGCCCTGGGATCCAGCACCACTGTCAACTCCTCCTTCTCCACCATAGCATCGATCCTCTTCAGGTTCGGCACCTCCCCAACCAGCATCTGCAGCAGCACCACTCCGAACGAATACACGTCCGATTTCGGCCCGAGATACCCCCTCCTCGCGCACAAATACTCCGGATCAACATAGTGCTCCGTCCCCACAATAACGGATTTCCGCACGACGTGGGAGTGGCCGGGAGCGAGGTCGCCCATGAGGCGAGCGAGCCCCACGTCGCCGAGCTTGGCGGTGAAGTGGTCGTCCAGGAGCACATTGGCTGGCTTCACATCGCGGTGCACGATGGGCGGCTTGCGCGTGTGCAGGTGCTGCAGGCCCGCTGCGATCTGGTGGGCGGGAGGAAGGGGAAGCAAGGAAGGACATGGGAGTTGGAGGGTGGGTGGGGAGCTTCCCGTCGCGGTGCAGGTGCTGCAGGCCATGCAACCCCACCCCACCCTACCGTACCCCAACCTAACGTACCCCACCCGCTAGCATGGTGCAACCCCCAGCTGCTCACCTCCATGGCAATGCGGCAGCGTTCGGGCCACTGCAGGGGCGGCACGCCCCCAATACACAGCAGGCGGTCCTCGAGCGACCCGTTGGCCATGAACTCGTAGACCAGCGATCGGTCCTCCCTGCAGTACCCCACCAGGCGCACCGCGTTGGGGTGGTCTATGCGCTTCTGCACCTCCATCTGTGGTCCGTGTGTGAAGGTTGGGGAGGGCGGAGGGGAGGGGAGATGAGGGGAAAGGGGAGGGGCCAGTAGCATCTCATCTACATTCGGGTGGTTGCACCTCCATCCGCCAGTCTATCAACCTTAGCATCAATGACCCCATCGATCGCCACCTGTGACCCCCACCGCAACTCACCTCCCTGTCGATCTCGTCAAGCGCAGCCTTCACATCGGGGTTTTTGAGCTGCTTCACAGCGACCGTCTGCCCGTCGATCATGCCCTTATACACCACGCCGTAGCTGCCCTCGCCGCACACGTGGTTGGGCCAAAAGTGCTCAATGGCGGCCTGCAGCTCCTCCAGCGTGAACTCTTTGAACGGCTGCCTCCGCGCGCCCTCTGCGGGCTCCACCACTTGGAGAGGGCGCGTCAGCGGATTCTTGTCCGAAGGGACTTTACGGCCGGAGGAGCCCTCTCGCTCCGCCATCTTCTTCTCAAGCCGGGCCTGGTGTGCGGGAAGCAGGTGGCAGAGGGAGGGGGCAACGGAAGGTGGAGCACGAGGTGGAGAGGCAAAGGTTGGGCCAGAACCAGAAGTGCTCAATGGCGGCCTGCAGCTCCTCCAGCGTGAACTCTTTGAACGGCTGCCGCCTCACGCCCTCTGCGGGCTCCACCACCTGCAGCGGCCGCGTGAGCGGGTTCTTGTCCGAAGGGACTTTACGGCCGGAGGAGCCCTCGCGCTCTGCCATCTTCTTCTCGAGGCGAGCCTGGTGTGAGGGAACGGGGAAAAGGGAGACGGAAGAGGAAGCAGGAGGAAGCAAGGGCAGTGGGTGTGAGTGGGACGGCTCGACCACCAGCCGCCTGCAGCCTGCAGCTCCTCCAGAGTGAACTCTTTGAACGGCTGCCGCCTAGCGCCCTCTGCGGGCTCCACCACCTACAGCGGCCGCGTCAGCGGGTTCTTGTCCGACGGCACCTTGCGGCCCGAGGAGCCCTTGCGCTCCGCCATCTTCTTCTCCAGGCGAGCCTGGTGTGAGGGAATTGGGAGAGGGGAGAGGGGGCAGGAGGAAGGGAGAGGGGGCAAGAGGGAGCAAGGGCACAGGATGTGAGTGGGAGGGTTCCACCACCTGCAGCGGCCGCATGAGCGGGTTCTTGTCCGACGGCACCTTGCGCCTCGACGAGCCCTCCCTCTCCGCCATCTTCTTTTCCAGCCGGGCCTGGTGTGAGGGAATGGGGGGGAGAGGGGAGAGGGGGCAAGAGGAAGGGAGAGGGGGCAAGAGGGAGCAAGGGCACAGGATGTGAGTGGGAGGGTTCCACCACCTGCAGCGGCCGCGTGAGCGGGTTCTTGTCCGACGGCACCTTGCGCCTCGACGAGCCCTCCCTCTCCGCCATCTTCTTTTCCAGCCGGGCCTGGTGTGAGGGAATGGGGGGGAGAGGGGAGAGGGGGCAAGAGGAAGGGAGAGGGGGCAAGAGGGAGCAAGGGCACAGGATGTGAGTGGGAGGGTTCCACCACCTGCAGCGGCCGCGTGAGCGGGTTCTTGTCCGACGGGACTTTGCGCCCAGATGATCCCTCCCTCTCCGCCATCTTCTTTTCAAGGCGCCCCTGGTGTGAGGGAATGGGTAAAGGGGATAGGGAAGGGGTAAGGTGAGCGAAGAGATGAAATGAGTGGAGAGGAGAGGGAAGGAGAGGAGGGAACAGTGGCAACATTGCTCCACATTCTCTCATGCAATCTAAGGCCCAGCCCTTGGGCTGGCAATGGCATGGTTCAGCAGAGGGATTGGTTATAGAACGTATGAGGTAAGGCGTCCCACATTTTCCCCCGTGTGAGTGTGTTTTGTGTCTCTTTCACAATCCAGCACAAGACCAGAAGGCCGTGCAACCGACCTTAGCACCAGCAGAGGGCTTCTTCTTCCTCGGCCGGTCCTTGGGCGGCACTCCACCTCCCACCGCCGCTCCTGTATTTTGAGTCAACTCAAAATGCATCTGACAACACTCTAACACAAGAAGGTGCTGCTACCAACCTTAGCACCAGCCGATGGCTTCTTCTTCCTCGGCCGGTCCTTGGGCGGCACTCCCCCTCCCGGCGCCCCCCCTGCCGTTGCCGCCCCTCCTCCTCCTGCTGCTGCCCCACCTGCTGCCGCGCCCCCAGACCCACCCCCACCGCCTGCCCCAGCAGCAGCCTTGGCCTTAGCAGCATATGCTCGCCTAGCCAGCTCCAGAGCAGACAGCCCCTCCTCGTTCTTCCCCGCACCCTCCCCTCCCCCTTCCGCCGCCCCCCCCTCCGCCTTACCAGCCCCTTCCCCCTCCGCTCCCCCCTCTGCTGCGGCCTCCTTGCCTCCCGCATCCCCTTCCCCTTCCCCGTCCGCTGCCCCGCTGCCCCCCTGTGCATCTCCGTCCTCCTGCACGCCGCTGCCCCCCTCCTGGATGTCTGGCAGCTTCTTGTTGAGGGCTGTGCCGTGGAACACTCGCGCTGGGGGAGGGACGGGCTGGGAGGGCGGAAAGAGGAAACGCAGGAAGTGGGGCAGGGGATGTCAGAAGGTAAGGGGCGCGAGGGAGCACAAGAGATAGGAAAACAGATCCCTTCCTGGATGTCTGGCAGCTTCTTGTTGAGCGCTGTGCCGTGGAACACGCGTGCTGGGGGAGGGACGGGCTGGGATGGGTTGGAATCGTGGGAAAAGGAGGAGAGGACGAGTTGGGAGAGATAGGGGAAACGGGGATGGGGGTAAAGCGTAAGGGCAGCAAGGGGGACGGGCTGCATGGGGGAGCACGTGCGGGGCATGTGAGGAGAGAGCGGATGAATGCAGGGAACAACTCATCTTAACGGGAAAGAGTGGGTGAATGGCGAGAAGGACTCACCTTAGCGGGCGCCTGCTCCTTGCTCTGCACGGTTTTCAGCTTCTTGCCACTCTGCACCACATAGAGCGACGCGCCGGGCGGCAACACCTCCTCCCTCGCGCACACGTTGATGGTCTTCCACCTGCCATGCCGTGGAGAATGAGGGGGAAAGGGGAGGGGAGGGGCGTGACGCAGGGTTGTTAGGATGGAGGTGCATGGTTGGGGGTTGTTAGGGTGTGGCTCGCGTGGTGCCATGACGGCATGCGGGGGGGAGGGGGAAGAGGAGGAGAGAGGCGGGAAAGCCAATGGCCTGTTGACGGGATGGCGTGGCGTGGCACAAGACAACACACGTCATGCAACGGGAATGAGATGGCACCACTCTGGCTCTGTTCAACTGAGTGCAACGGAGAACTCACTCGCCGATGGGCTTGTTGGGAATGCTAGCCAGCACGATGTGCGTCGCCTCCAGCTTCTGCGCCGCCTCGAGAATGGCGCCGCCCTTGTCCTCGTTCTTTATCACGTGCACCGTGGACGGCAGCTGGGGGAATGGGAGGGTGGGGAGGGTGCATAAGAGCGGGGAGAACGATCAGTGAAGGTTATGGGTTGAGAGAGGGGGCAAAGAACGGGGTCCCACGAGGATGGCGCGGCCCTTATCCCCGTTCTTAATCACGTGCACCGTGGACGGCAGCTGGGAATGGGGGGGGAGGGGGGAGGAAAGAGTGGCGAGAGGTCAGAAAGAGAGAGAAAGAGAGGGGTCACACGAGGATGGCCCCGCCATTGCCCTCGTTCTTGGTCACGTGCACCGTGGACGGCAGCTGGAGGGCTGGGGCGGGAGTGGTGGAGAGAGAGAGAGAGTTGAGCGAGGGCTGGCGGGGTGGGAGAGAGAAGCAAGGGGTTGCACCTCATGAGAATGTGGGGTGAGAGAGCGGAGAAAGAAAGGGGTCGCGTGAGTATGGAGCTGGCGTGGACCTAGTTCTTTATCGCGTCCAACAAGGTGTGCAGGAGGGTGGGGAGAGAAGAAAACGGGGGAAGCAAGAACGCGGTTGCAGGGGGGTTGGAAACGAAGATAAGAGAAGGGTGGGAGAGAATACGGCCCCGTCTAGCACCATTTCGCATCTACCGCCACGCCTCATGTCATTCTACCCCCCAGACTCACATTTCAAGCCACTCGTCCGCACGTCTCACATCACTCACCCCCACATCAGTAAAGCGACTTACCCCGGCGTCGTCGCTGACGTCTTGCAGGCTCTCGAGGTACGGCAGAACGCGGTCGCATATGTGCACCGCCACGCTCGGGCTGTCCGCCTCGCCTAGGCGCACCAGCTTGCCCGCTGGAGAGGGAGAGAAAAACGGGGAAATCGGGGGAAGGACGGGGAAGGAAAGGGGTTAGCTGGCAGCACGTGGTCGCATTTGTGCGCCGCCACGCGCGGGCTGTCCGCCTCGCTCAGGCGCACTAACTTGCCCGCTGGATAGGGGAAGCAAGGGCGAAGTGGGGAAAGGAAGAACGGGGAAGGAAGGGGGTTTGATGGCAGCACGCGGTCGCATGCCACGGTCCGCTTGGGGAAGGAGAGTTTTTTTTTCTGGTTTGGAGGAGTTACGGCGGGAGGAGGAAGGGGCAGATAGAAAATGAATAGCCAGCGAGAGAAGAGGGAGACACGGAAGTCCTGCGAGGGAGCTAAGCACGGAAAGGATTGGAGGTGATGCGACAGGGCGCAAGCGCGTTGCGACCAGTCGCGAGCGTTTTGCGAGAGTGCCCGACTGTTTTACGATAGGGTGCGAACGTATTACAACAGGGTGCGAGGGTGTTTACGATAGGGTGCGCGTAAGGCGTAAGCGACAGAACGAGAGAGAGACATAACAAAATAAACGAGGAGTGTCTGTAGGAGAAAAGTGCAGATTGTGGTGCAATCGTTCTGCGACTTGATTTTCGAGCGTACCTGGCGCATCGAAGCTCTTGATTGACGTACATTGCAAACAGAGACCCTGAATAATTTCTTGCCGACAATATCTTGTCCTTAATTTCGATCGCTCTTAAACACCCAGTTGATAACAGCTCCTTGATTATGAGGTCCTCGCTGCAGCAGCGCACCTGTATTGCGAAGTTCCGTCACAATATGCGTGAGGAGCAGACACACGCTGGTATCCTTGCGCTTTCCGAACTCCTTAATCGTCCAGTCTAGGGCTTCTCGGCAGTGCTGGTCGTCCCGCATCGCCACCAGCACTTTAATATCCGCAGTGACGTCCATGGCACCTTCAGATTAATATACCCTAAAATGATTTTAATTACTACTGAATGTTACTGAAGTGAGTTGCGGGCCTATCTAGAGTCGCTACAATGTGTTCGCACGGGATGGCTACCAACAAGTTACAAGCTCGCCGAGAGGCTTCACTTTTCTCTTATAGGACCGAGTTTTAACATTTCCACGAAAGCTTTGACCTGCGACTAAGGCAGTTGGTCTGTCAGACGGGAAAACGGCTATGTGCCTCAAGACCAGAAGCTAGAAAAAAGACGGAAGACAAAGCGAGCAGGAACAAAGTCCCAAGGAAGCAACAAAGTCCAAGGGACGAAAGAAACAAGGGGGTCCCAAGGGACGCAGATACCAACAAAGTTCTAGGCGAGGTGAAGGGGACGACAACAAAGCCCGACGAAATCAGGCGAGGAAGGACGACCCAATCCCGAGGGTAGACGGGTCGGGATGAACCAAGTCAAAGGGCCGGGGAAGTGAAGGGAGCAAGCGCTCTGCCAGCCAAACAAAACCCAAGGGACAACCGCCGTCGCTGGCTTGCGCGTGCCGCGGCTTGAGCTGTCGTGGCGGGAAGGAGAGTGCTGCTGTGGCAGGTGCTGCTTGAAAGCGAGGGAATCTAGGTGAAGCTTCCATTCGATTGAGTCACGTCAGGTTGGGGATTCCGAAGCTGTGCCTTGCCTCAGCCTAACAAACCGAATTCCCAGAACATTACATGTGCTCCACTGGAGCTAAATGAAAAAGATGCAGTATATATGCTCATCAAACCTCACCATATCTGGCCCGCCGAGCCGACTCACCTCACCTGTCAAAAATTCCATTTCATTACATTTCAGCAATTCCTAGACAATTTCCCTTGCTTTCTCTAAAAAAAATTCTGGAAGCACAAAAAGCACCATAATTACCAGTATCCAATAATTCACTCATCTTCTACCGCCTGTGCTTGTCCTCTTCATCTTCTCGCCGCCCGGCTCTTGCTCCACCGGTGCCTGTGGTTGCGGCTGTGGCTGGCCCCCTGCTAACTTCTTCATAATTCTCTCCCTCTGCTCAGCCTGTTGCTGTGGCGTTGGAGGCTGCCTCTTTTCTGCTCTCGAGCTCTGCTGCTGCTGCTGCTGATCCTTGCCTGGTTTACGCGCAGAGCCACTGGTGCTCCCACCCGCCCCACCGCCCCCAACAGCGCTGCTGGCATTGCTCATAGTCGACCCAGAATACCTATGCCCCTGCCGATCCCCACCCCCGCTCACACCTCCGCCCCTCGCCCCCCCTCCCGCCCCTCCCTCTCCTAACCCTTGCCTCCTCATCCTCTCACTCAGCCGACTCTCATCAGGTGACGGCGCCCGGACCTCTCTCCCTCCGTCATACTCCCCTCCACCACCCGGCCTCCTGCCTCCCGGCCCGCCTCTCTGCCTCATTTCAGGTACATCCTCAGACAGCAATCGCATGCCTCGATGCGACCGTGCCCCTGGCCCCAGCAGCATCTTACTTGACGGGGTTGGCGGGCCATTAACACCGCCCGTGCTCATGCTGCTGCCCCACATTGGCGGCTGCCCGGGAGGAAAATTTCCGGGCAGGTTAGGGTTTGAGGCGGAGGGCGGCGGCATGGAGTGGGGAGGAGCGGGGCCGGACGGGGGCCCTTTGCGCTGCACCTGCAGGCCCAGATCTTCAAAGACAAAGGCTGCGCTCCGTGTGACTGCTGGCTTGCCGGGGGGGAGAGGACGGACCTGCAGTGGAGGGTAGGAAAAAGAGAAACATATATTTGAGTTGCCTTGGCGCCCCTCAAACACAAAGGCTGAGCTGAGCTTCGTGTGGCTGCCGGCTAGTTGGGAGGGAGAGGACGGACCTGCAGTGGAGGGAGGGGAGGAGAGATAAAGGCTTTTGAGTCGCCTCAAAGGCTCTTTCCAAGGCTAAGGCTGAGCTCCGCGTGACTGGCAGCTTGCCGGGAGCGAGAGGGCGGACATGCAGTGGTGTGGGGGGACGAGAGATAAAGACTTCTGAGCCTCCTCCAAGGCCCTCTAAGATATAGGCTGCGCTCCATGCGACTGCTGGCTTGCCGCGAGGGAGAGGACGGACCTGCAGTGGAGGGAGAAGAGGGGAAAAACCGGGGAGAGGAATTTGAGGTGGTATGGAAGTGCAGGACGGAGGGGAGAGGCGGTGATAGGGCGGGGCCAGAGGGGGGGCTTTTGCGTTGCACCTGCAGGCCCAGGTCTTGGAAAAACAAAGGCTGATCTCAGTGTGACTGCTGGCTTGTCGGGAGGGAGAAGGCGGACCTGCAGTCAAGAGAAAGCGGGAAAGAGCAGGGAAAGGGTTTTGGGTGCTGCGGAAGTGCAGAATGGAATGGGGAGGGGGCAAGGGGTGAGAGGCGTGGTTGAGTGACAGGAGGGGAGGATGGGGTAAGGGAACGGCGAGCAGTGGAAGCAGCACGCACACACATGACTGTGCTCCTGCTCGTGAGGTGTTTCGAGGCGCCTCAAAAGTGAATATGCACCCACATGCTCCTGCTCATGTGCTTTCGAGGCGCCTCAAAAGAGACTATGCACCCACCTGATCCAGTTCCTGCTCGCGTGCGTCATAAGCCGCCCGCAACCGCTCCAGCTGCCTTTTGAGTCAACTTTGACTCACCTGGACTCAAATGTCGACTCAAAGGCAGCGCCTTCAGAGTGACCATGCACCCACCTGATCCAGTTCCTGCTCGCGTGCGTCATAAGCCGCCCGCAACCGCTCCAGCTGCCTTTTGAGTCAACTTTGACTCACCTGGACTCAAATGTCGACTCAAAGGCAGCGCCTTCAGAGTGACCATGCACCCACCTGATCCAGTTCCTGCTCGCGTGCGTCATCAGCTGCCAGTGATCGCTCCAGCTTCACTCCTCCCTGCTCTCCGCCGGCCATGTCTCCCCCGCCTCCCCAACCCGGCCTCCCCCAATTGCCTCCCCCTCCACCTTGCTGCCCCTGCCATCCGCCCTGCATTCCCCCTTGCATCCCCCCCTGCATTCCGCCCTGCATCCCCCCTTGCATTCCGCCCATGTCCTGCTGCCCGCCCCAGCTCCCCCTGCCCCCGTACAAATCGTCGTCAACCGCCCCCACCGCGCCCCCAGGCCCCATCCCCCCGCCCTGGGGCGGCATTCCCCCCATCTGCGGCCCCCACATCCCTCCGCCGCCCCCATTCCCTCCGCCATAGAGATCATCCGCCATGCCCCCCATCTGCGCCTGCTGGGGGTACCCACGAGCGGGTTGGAAGCCAGGGTAATTAGGCCCAGAACCTGGGGGCATCGCGTTCGAGTACCCCTGAGGGGGGGGCATCATGCCAGGAGGACCCCCAAAGCCGACAGGCATAGATGCCCCCTGGTTGGGGTTGTTAACATGCATCGGCATGCCCTGCTGCTGCATCCCCATCCCCCCCCCCATCGGCCCCCCAGGCATCCCCATTTGCCCCTGCTGGTAACCACCCCCAGCGTGCGACCAATTAGCACCGCTCTCCTCTTCCTCCTCCTCACCCTCCTCATCCTCCCCCTCCTCTTCCTCCTCCTCCCCCTCTTCCTCCTCATCTTCTTCCTCCTCTTCTTCCTCATCCTCTTCCTCCTCCTCCTCTTCTTCATCATCTTCCTCCTCTTCCTCCTCCTCCTCCTCATAATCCTCCCCATCCTCAAGCTCCTCCTCTTCATCCTCGTATTCCTCCCCTTCCACCTCCCCCCACTCCCCCTCCTGCTCATACTCCCACTCGCCGCCGCTCCCCGCGTTCCCCGCGCCCCCCGCCCATTGGTGACCATACCCTCCGCCGCCTGCCATATCCATGCCCATCGCATTCTGATTCGCATCATATCCGTACTGCGCGCCGATTGGCTGCCCGGCCATGCCCATACCTGGGCCGCCCATGCCCATGCCTTGGTTCCCCGTCCCCATACCTCCTTGCATCTGCATCCCCATCGGCGGTCCTCCGACAGGCATTCCCCCTCCCCCCATCATCCCCTGCCCCATCATCCCCATCCCCTGTCCGCCCATGCCCCCCTGCCCGCTCATGCTCGCTCCTTGCGTGCCCATCCCTCCGCCACTCCCGCCCCACTGCTGCTGACCCCCTTGCTGCGCCATGTCCCGTGGACCCCCCGCCGGTTGCCCCGGCCCGGCCACGTTTCCCCGCATCTCCCCCCGATCCCTTTGCCGTCCTTCCGCCGGCCTCTCCGCTGCCGCCTGCCCGCGTCCAGCGCCAGCGCGAGGGGGGCCCCGGGGCCCGCCGTCGCCGGCACAGCTGCCGGCAGGCGGAGGCGGCCGCATCCGCCTCTCCCCCATCCCTGGCGCATCCGCGCCCGCCGGCCGCGGTCTCTGCGCAGGAGGGCCAGGTCTTACGCCTGCAGCTTTGGGTTTGGCACCCGCGACGGGCGGAGTAGCGCGCTTCGCACCAGGGGCTGGGCGCGCTTTCGCCGACTTCACCTCACCCGACGCCGCTTGATCCTTCCCCGCCTTCCCCGCCTTCCCCGCTTCGCCCTTTTTCTTCTTAGGTGCAATCTGAAGCGGCAGATCCTTGGGAAGCGGTTTCTTCGACCCCTGCGATAGCAGACTGCTTGCTGCACCAGTCAGCACCTTGGATAAGAAAAATCCACGTCCTTTATTCGCCGATTTGGATTCTGTGACATTTTCCTCCTCCTCCACCTCCCACACCGCGACCTCAATTTTTTCGTTGAACGTAACCTTTCTTCTGGGTTCCGATGAATCTCGTTGCCGGCGCCGCGGTTTGTTACCTTTCACAATGCACGGCTTTAGGTCGGGATAAGTCCTTAAAGTGGCCGCCACGGCCTTATCTGTTGATGCGGTGGTTTTAAAGCTTAGACCGCCAAGGAACGAAATCCCTTTCTTTTTCTCTTGACTTCCCGTGGGGGTTGTCGCGGTTTCAGCCACACCTGGATCGTTGACTGGGTTGACTTTCAGCTGCCGCGATCCGGTCGACGCGCGCTGAACCATTGGCGGAGGTTCGCTGACCTCTTCGTTTGGCACGATGGGGCTTCCCACGCTGCTGGATCGAGGGAACGCGCCTCGGACGCTGGCTCGCGGCGGGCCATCCGCCTTTTGCGGCGCCAAAGGCGTTTGTTTATTCGGGCCGGTGTCGGACTTTTTACGGGGAGCGAGGGGCCCGGAATGCGTTTGCGGGGGACGGTTAGGTCTGGGAGACGGTTCCGGAGGCGCACTGCCAACAAGACCGCGTTCTTGCCGTTTGCGTTCCGCCATTTCCGGAAACCTAAGCGGAATAGATAAGCATTTGTTGTTAGGACCACAACGGTGCTGAGGCAACAATGTTGGTGACAATGACAACTCACTGACACACAACTAGAGGGGAAAGCTACAATGCAGACAAGCAATGATACAGTGCCAAGGACTGAGTGAGAGGAGTGAAACAGGACGATGAGAAGGATAGGTAGGGTAGACTGGGTGAGAAATCAGTGAGAATGCTTGCTGATAGACTTCTGGTTCGGCTGAGGTTCGGCTGATGCTGGTTTGGCTGTGTGATGGCTCGTCCCGGGTACGGATGACGTGTTTCCAACGCACCTTGGGGGTTCCGGAAGTGGCCGGAGCTGAGGTTTTGAGGTTTGGTGGCACCCGAGCCACGATCTCAACATCCGAGGTCAGAGTTTGCGCGTGAAACAGGTGGAATATTGGTCAACGTACGGTTGTGAAATGAGAATCGTCGCTAAAGAGAACTAGGATACAGGATAAAGTGGAACAGAAGAACATCAAACCGCTAGGGGATGTAATACAATTGTGGAAGCATGAAGGTTCACAAAAGGTGATATTTGCGGCAGCGGATAGGTCATCTAGCCATTCGCTGCTGTGGCCTCGATCTTGCCGCGTGGCTTCTGCCAGGTCACGCAAAGTGAGGCGTTCGCTGCACCTTGCCCGTGTTACCGTCATCCTGCATTCACCACACCACCTCATGTGCGTGTGATGCCAGCCGTAAGTCTTGTAACAATGTTCAGATAGGTGAGTCGCGGTCGAAAGCGGCGAAGCGAGTTAGCCGAGAAAAGAGGAGTTGAAAGCAGATTATTTCTTCCTATGACAGTGCACGGTCAGCTCAAGCTCTAAGAAAAAAAAAGTGCAGCCGACTCTGATCGTAATTATTCTGCTGCTGTTAGGTTCCTGCTGCCGCTCATTGTCAGCAGTCAAAGCTGACGCTTAGTGTTGAAGCAATGGCTGCCGTTACAATGCAGGCGTCGGTTGCGAGCCGCTCACCGTACCTCTCATTGCCGTCGCGGCCCAGATTCGCATCTGGAGCTCGCCTCGCACGACCGCCGGCAGTCAACGCTAGAATCGTCGTCAATGCTCGTGCGAGTTGCGACCAGCCTGAGGTGCGACCTTTTCTCAGCTCCCCTAGAATGTGCATAAGCATACTGAAGCACAGTAAGAGTTACTCGCGTGTCGACTATATACATAGTCGCGATGTGCTGGCTTGAGCTGGCGTGTTCATGCAAGCAGATGGAAGCAATCCGAACCTTCTAAGCCTCCGTAGGCTCCTTCAGGACTGCGTTAGGGTGCATTAGCAGGTCGTGTCAAGTCTTCTTTAACAGATGTTCTTAACCCTAAATTCACAGGCTTTCACTCTTCGATGCAAATCTGCTCGCTCGTGATCTCTCTCGACCTCTTTCTTCCCATCACGCGATAACAGGCTGCTTCGCCTTTGAGAAGCTCGCTGGTCAGCCAATCTTCGACCCAAGCGAGCATCGATCAAGTACAGCCTCGTCCCATTCCCTCGGTTTTTCGTATTTTGTTTTCTTTCTTTCTTGGGACTTGCTACGCTGACTTGGTCCTGATTTGACAACCTTCAGTTCTCCATGCACATTCCCCCGGCAGTTCATTCCGCACATTTTCCATCGCGCTTACCTCGTCTTGACAGTCTGTTCTTATTGCTGTTCCCTCCCGTCGCCCTGCTACTCTGATCGCAGTTTTCCCCGCAGCAGCTCGCCATCAACGCGTCGACGATCTCCTCCACAGCCGCTGCCTTCCTCGCACCCGTACGTTCACGCATCATCTGTAGCGGGCACAATCCAGTCGTCGTAAATACACGGGTCCATTCAGGCACTCGGCTAGCGACCAGGCTATCGGAGCTGTTAGAAAAAATCACGGAGACGAGACTAAGAGAATCAAGCTTACGCTTCAGTCGAAGCTTTTTACTTCTGCATGGGAAAGCGCTTGAGAGAATCAAGCTCACTTACCATCCAGAGCCGTTCGGTCGTTGTCGCCAACATCCCCAAGTTTCTGTTCTTTCACTTCGTCTCGTCGTCTCCACCCGGTTTTCCCACTTCCCAGTCTCGTTGTATATCTAGATGCTTAGATGGAACGAACTGGCAGGGGCCAAGTGAATCTGTTCAGTGTGTTTTCGTCATGATTAGTGCTCCAGCATGAGTTGCGTCGTCAGAAGTTGGCCTCTGCCCTTGAAACATGAGGTTCTACTAGCCTGTCGCTCGCGTCTGAGCGCGCTTATGTGAGCCCGGATACGTGGCCAATCCTGCACCGCGCTGAACCGCACACTCGTCGCATTGCCTTCTCCCCCGACACCCTTCACCCTCCCCGCGCAGCTCGCGCTCCTGGCGGCGCCAGCGGTGGCGGCGGAGTCGGTGGGACAGACGGACGAGGAGTTCGTGGAGTCCCTGATCTACTGGGGCATCACTGCCGTTATCTACCTCTTCGTTGCACCCGTGAGTGCTGCTGCGCTGGTAGGAGTTTCTGCAGTGGTTAGTGCTGCTGCCCCGCTCCTGCCTGGTAGGTGCTGCTGCATTGGTAGGCGCTGTTGCATTGGACGAGCAGTTGGTGGAGTAGTTCCATCTACTGGGGCAGAACTGCCGCCATCTACCTCTTCGTTGCGCCCGTGAGTGCTGCTGCGGCGTGGCTGGTATGTACTGCTGCGCTGGTAAGTAGTGCTGCATTGGTGGCGCTGCTGCATCGGACGATCAATTTAGGGTGAAGCTTTCTCATTGGAACATCTTCACCGTCGCCTCTTCCCTCTGCCCTCCGTCTCCCCCTCCCACCTCCCCACCCGTCCCCTCTGACGGCCCATGTGCAGCCACTGGTGTACGGGTATCTGCGCCTGCGGTGGTTCAACCGCTCCACCATTGAGACGTTCTTCCAGTATTACCTCATGTTCGCCTTCTTCCCCGCGTGAGTCCCCTGCTCGCCTTTTAAGCCGCCCCTAAAGTCGCCACTAAATGGTTTAGGCGCCTTGAAAAAATCCTTCCAGTATCACCTCGTAATGTGCTTCTTCTCACCTCATAATGTGCTTCTTCCCCACGTGAGACCCATTCACGCCTTGTTCTGGTAGTTAAGTACGGCTTGCCGTGGCCATGCTAATTCAGTCCAACAGTAGCATACTCACTCACTCCCACTGCATGCATACCTATGTATATTACTAACATTGCCAATGCACCCTCACAAACCACCCCCCTCCCCTTCCTCCTCCTCCCTCTTCTGGAGCGCTATCCCTGTTCTTCATCAGCCTCAGGCGCCTTCCCCGTTTCCCCTTCCCAGTGTCCCCCTTCCCCCAGCCCTGCCAGCATGCTGCTGTGGTCGCCCTTCATTAACTTCAGGCGCCTCCCCCGCAAGGAGCTCTGAGCCACCGCTGCCACTCCAAACGCACCCTTCCTCCCCCCTCTCCCCTTCCCCCTTTCCCCTCCCCCCTTCCCCATTCCCCCTTCCCCTTTCCCCCTTCCCCCTCCCCCGTTATCCCACTGTCCCCTGCCAGCATGCTGCTGTGGTCGCCATTCATCAACTTTAGGCGCCTCCCCCGCAAGGAGCTCTAAGCCACCGCTGCCACATGCATTTTGTGCCTTGTTGCCAAAAAGGCTCATTCAAAGCAGCCCCGCAACTCACCTAGTGGGCTAACAAGTCTTGCAGCGAGGCAGACGGGCAGACAGCGGACCGGCATATAGCCAGAGCGGTTTGTCTCTGTCAATTGAATCAACAGTGGCTGGCTAGACTGCTGACTTGTGTGTACTGCTATACAGGGTGCTATGGCCCAAACACATTGCCATGAGCCTGGGCACACATTCCACTCTAGCTCAAAATGAATGGACAAATATCACCATTGCTCAGTCATTCCTTTGAAATGTAGAAAACAGAGGTAATTCTTGTACTGTTACTGTTGCTCTTCATGTCTTGATGCTGACAACTACTTACGTTGTATCCCAGCCTAGTGTCAAGAAGTTGGTGGCAAGAAGTTTGCGCGCGCGATTGGTCCAAAGCAGACGCCCGGCCAATGCGATTGGTCAGGCGTTTTTTTTAACCAATCGCGTGTGCGAACTCCTTGCCACCAACTTCTTGACACTAGGCTGGGATACGACCTTACAGGAGGATGCAATTTCAGCTAAATGGGCAAGGGCAGAGGCAAGACTAAAGCAGCTAGTTTTCTGACATGCTGCTCAACACTACCCCAAACATCTTCACAAATCAAGGTGGCAAAACCTACATATTCTAACATGGAGAGGCACTGCGTGAAGCTACCGTATCTGTTACCCTCCATCAACAGCCTCGCACTGCTGCTACTCTCTAATGTGGAAGCTGGTGGTACCCTAGGAGCTGCTGCCTGCTACGCTATTACTCTGCCTGGGAGCTGCTGCCCCCCAATGCGCCCACTTTGGCCTTGAGCTCCTGTGTACAACACACGACAGGGGATTGAACCAGGCCATGCAAGCCGGGAGAGAGTCAGGAAGCAGGGATTGAGTCAGGAGGAAACGAGAGAGTTTGCGGGTTTGTAGAGAGGTCTGCGAAGGTGGAGTAAAAGAAGAGGCACCTGGCGGTAGTGGTGGCCGACGGATGGAATAGGAGAGGGTGTGCAGCAAAGGAAAGCAGGGGGATGGGTGGCTAAGCACCAATGGTTTGACCCTCACTCCTCTCACCGATACTTGGCTCTCGAGGCAGCGCAGGTAGTGGATGGTTTGAGCCTGCACAGTTGCGGCGTCTGTCTTGGTGGATGCAGGCACCAGCACCACACACTCCCTTCCCCTACCACACCCTCACACTGCTGAAACTCACAGCGACTTGGCTCTCGAGGCCGCGCAGGTAGCGGATGGTTTGAGCCAGCACAGTGGCGGCGTCTGACTTGGTGGATGCCTGTAGTAGCAGCACTCCCTCACACTGCCTTTCCCTATAGCTCAAGACTGTTAACCTACAGGAACTTGAATTCTATTAACTCACCGCGACTTGGCTTTCAAGGCCGCGCAGGTAGCGGATGGTCTGAGCCAGCACAGTGGCGGCGTCTGTCTTGGTGGACGAGGGCACCAGCCCTTGTAAAGTGCGGATGTGCCGCGATATGCGGTCCCTCCGCTTCTGCAGGGTTTAACACAGAGTGGAGAAGGATTGACGACAAACGATGCAGTGAGGAGAAGGGTGGGGGGCAGAGAGGAGTGAGCAGAAGGGGGGTAGAAAAGAGTGAGGAGAGGCAGAGAGGTGAGTGAGGAGAAGAGGGGAACCAGACTCGAGAGCGTGGGGACACAAAGAGTAGGGGAGAGGGAGCACTGATGAGAAGGGAGGGGGACAGCGATTAGCGAGGAACACACCACAGCATCCCTTTTCCCCCTTTCCTCGCACGCTCCCCCCTTCCCCACACACCCTTCTCCCCCCAGCTCCAGTCACCCGGGCGGCCACACATGGCTTGGTGACCGCATCACTCTTACTCCTCTGTTCCACCCCCCCTCCTCCCACACTCTTCCCTTCCCCAACAGTTCCCCCTTTCCATCCCCTCCCCTCCCCCCCCCCCCTCCCCCCCCCCCTGCACTTAC